GAAAATTTTGAAGACACTAGTAATGAAAGAAAAATTTTCCATCTTCTAAGCTCTTTACCTACGAATTATCAATAAGTGTCACATAAATGACTTTATCTTGATATGCAGATAATCACATACAACAAAATTATATGTGCTTTTTTTATTGATGATTTAAAGCGAAAGATGATGACATTTTCTTCATAATGTTCATCAACTATGGTCATTAAATGTGATCCAGTATCGGTCATTTTTACAAATAACAAGAATTGCAAATGATAGATGAATGGATGTAGATTCAAATCCAATGATAAATCATTAGAAAGTAAAACGTTAGGTAGTATGTTGGAAATGTAGCAAAAAATATCGCGAAGAGAAACTGTAATATGAAGATCTTTGTTAAAGTTGACAATACTACTTTAGCTAGCGTGAGGAGCATGACTTGTTCTATGACCTTTAGACTCACTCTCATGCAGGTTTACCTCCTTTGAATAGTGTGACTCAAAACTTTAATCCAAGAAGTATGATTTGCTCTAGGCCTATGTACTGAATTTCATTAAGCTTAAACTCAAATTGATAATTTTAACTCATCATGATTCTAAAAGATAAAGTATTCCTCTACATGTCCGCCTCTCAAACAAACTCTCACATAATCTTTTCATTCATTATTTATATTCAATCATTTCATCAAGGTCTGAAGATGATAGTGTAATTCAATCTTCTATTTAAACAACAAGTTTTCATACAATAAAATTTTTAAACTTGTTACATAGTCTATTATCTATCTAACTTTTTATTTATACTACTTGAAAAATTATCATAATAACATATGGTGTTTATTAAACACTTAGTCAAACCTGCCAAGATAATTCTTGGCAGGTTTGACTAATTCTTATTATGTGAAAGCATATTATTCGCATAGCTAAAAATTCTAGAAGCTTTAATGTTTTTAGACTAAAGTACAACATGCCATTTGACATACTGAAATTTCTAGAACTTTCATTTTTCATTAAGTCAATTTTAAACTTAGTTAAATAATAAAATTTCTATTATTTAGTCAAACCAATCAAAATTAGCATGTAATTAAAGTTTTTGCTCCTTAATATTTACACTTTAATAGGAAATAAAATAGTATTGCTCATTAAGTTTTCTAAAATGATTTTTTTTCTACCAAATATTGATTTTTAGCTTGATTTAGTGTAACTAATTAAATTTAGTAATGACTAAACTGACCATGGTCAATACTTTGACTACTTGTACTAGTTTTTCACACATATAACTTTTTATTTTACAGCTCAACTATACATTATGATGCTAGAAAAATGTTGTACTCAACTTATCAAGGAATGTTGGTGATGTATAAATTCTAGATAGTGCTTGTTCTTGTGTTTGACATTTGTAACGTTGGAAAGATATTTGATACTTTTTAAGTATCAAAGGTTTAAATTTTTATGTAAAATGATCAATCATGTAAAACAAAAATATTGAAAATTTTAGTATTTTGATGTTTGATAAAATGTAACATACATTGACTAAAGTTGGATTTATATTTGACATAAGAAAAAAATTGATTTATCTTAATATTTTAGATTCAAAATTACTTTATCGTTTTTTTCAAAAGATAGTATTTAAAGAAAAAATAGATGATGAAATTATTATAAGAAATCACAAAAACAATAAACTATACTTGCTAGAGTCCATTATTATATGTTATGAAATAAAACTTACTAAAACTTGACCTAACATGATTCATGTATAATATTTGAACTCATATACATAAAATGGTAAGTGATGAATTGTAAATAGATCCGAATACAAACAATCAAACTTCAAACCAAGAGAAACCGAAAGAAGCTCCTAGCTAGTTTGAAGACTTCTCAAATTAATAACATCACTCATAAAACAACCTAAATCATAAGGCTCAAGCTGTAGTAAAGAATAAAAATTCTCAAGAACAACCTTATGAGCCACTCTAATTCCTATATATCTAGTATAAGTAACAAACACATGTTCTTCATACTCAGCTTTTCTCCCATCATATAACCTACAAATAGGTTTACTCCTATCAATGTTCAATCAACGCACTTACTCAACTCCAAGATTATAAAATCTTGTTTAATGCCGAGCAATAATATGATGTAAAGATGCAGAAATATCTGCAAGTAGGTATACTTGCTCACAATAAACAAGCATAAGATTCACATGAAGTTGATAAAACTTCATTGTAATGTCTCGTATGCTCCAAATAACATCGAGAAATTTCTCCTTAATACGTTTGCGAAGGGACATAGGTTGCAAATTTCAATCAATTTCCGTCACATTCCACCTCAAAGACCAAGTCACCACATCTGCAAACTATCCCTTTGAACGTTTGGCACGCAAAGCTTCAAGAGTAAGTAAAAAAACATCAAGATATCTCACTCTTCTTACGTAAGTGATAGAGAAGAAGAGAGCTTCATCCTCAAAAGGTAGACAATCTATTTCCACAAGAAGAATAGCATATGAAGTTTGGGTTTTCACACCCAATTTTTCTTGTAAGAAGATCTTTTGCACCCTCTCCGAACGTTGTATAGCTCTCTTCTTACAACCAGAACTTCACACTTGTGTTTCATATGAAATAACCAAAAACATTAAGTTCTTGAATAAGAATCTCCTAAGACTCCAAGACACTTAGATGAGCTACTCTAGATCTATTTAGCAAGAAATTAAGAGCTTTGAAACCAACTTCTATACTCTCAAGTGCCCAATTATAACCGTGGAAGAAATCAATGCCTAAACCTATGTAATTCCTCACTTGTTCCAAATCTAATTCTTTGTAAAAGAAAAAGAGCTTAGATTTAGTGCCCACAAGAAAGACTTTTGACTTCTCCAAATTGATCTCCATATGATTTTGAGTACAAAAGCTAGCCAAAGTGTCAAGATGTTTTTGTAAACTAATGGCATCACATGCTAGGAAGATGACATAATCAACATACAAAAGAACTTTGATGACAAAGCCTCCAAGTTTGACAACTTCATTTTCATAATACTCTAACCACCTTTCTATATCATCTATGAAGACTGCTAAGAGAGTATGAGAGAGATGACAACCTTGAATGACGTCAATGGTACTTCAAATATCTTTGGTTTGAAAAGTGTTGATCTTGATCCAAACGGAGTGATATAATATGGTCACTACTGATAAGAGATTTGATGATATTCCAATATTTTGTAATCTATTCCATAAAAGCTCACGAGATAATGTGTCAAAAGCTATCTTGAAATCGATGAAGTCACAATACGAAGATTTTCCATTCTCCTTTAACTTCTCCCATAAAACATTCAAAACTAGTATATGTTTTATAGTGTTAAATGTAGGACAGAAACTAGCTTGGAACCGCGCTCTCTTTTGACAAGATTCAGTCCATGTGCTCAACTTTGACTCCATCAATTTGCCAAATATCTTGGCAAAAATACTACACACCATGATTATCTGATAGCATGTGACCAAGTGCTTGTTCCTAGATATGTGAATAGGAACAATCTTCTGTAGAGACCAAGTTGAAAGAAACTCTTAAATAACAATATTCTCTAACACTTTAGTTAGTATAGGTCCAATAGCATCTACTCCCCAATTGAGAAACTCAATAGAAAGTTCATCCAAGTTCTCACATTTATCATTTTCCAATTAATGAGTTGAGTCATAGGTCCAATAGCATCTACTCCCCAATTGAAAAACTCAATAGAAAGTTCATCCAAGTTCTCACATTTATCATTTTCCAATTAATGAGTTGAATCATTATTTTTGCTTCAGAAAATAAGCCAAGTTTTTCTTCATAACGTGGCATTGATGCAACATTAGAAAACAAATAAAACTCTTCAGCAAAAGAAATCAAAGACCTGGTATCTATAGTAGGTTTGGAAAATCGTACTGCCAACCGCCTCCAAAAAGATTTAGGATTCTCCAACAGTTACTTTGTCAAGCACTCTTGCTTACTTCTCAACAAAATTTGTTTCTTAGACTTCACCAAGTCTTTGTGAAGTATTGTCATAACAAATCGATTATGAAGATTCAAAAATTTATCAATTGATCTTGCATTTGCTTGCTTGCAATCAAAGTCAAATTATCCAATGCAAAGACTAACTCTAATTCATGTTCTTATGTTTCAAATATTATTTAGAAATATAATTTTTGAGCAATTTGATTAATTACAAACTAGATTTATGTGTATCACGATTCCAAGCAGTAAGATTCAAAATATATTGTTAATGATGTTTATAAAATTCATTTTGATTAGTATCTAAAAAAATTTTAGAATAAATAGAAACATATTGACATGTATAGAGAATAATTTACTTTGATTTACTTAATCACACGAGATGTATGACTTGTTTTGGTTGAGATTCTAAAATATCAAATGTCAAGATAAAGGAACTCAATAAAGTACAAAAATTAATCAATAATGTTAACATTGGTTAAATAAAAACATTAGAGTATATTGGATTGAAAAAAGTAAACACCATTGTAAACATCTTTTACATTTATTAAGACGTACTTCTTAAAACTTACTGGACATTACCTCATATACCCACTCGTCCCAAGAGTTTTGAATTTAATTATAAAAAGTATTGAAACAGTCATCAACTACTTTGCCATTGTATAGTGCGCATGTCGAGACCGAAATTATGGGCTTTAGGGCTGTTTTATTTCAATTTTTACTTTCAATTCTAATAGCAAAAGTAATCTTGTGCTTATTTAACTTCAGATATCCTTTTATCTCACAAGAGGAATAGTTTGCTTTTAAGAACAGCCTTCGCAGAGATGACAATTGAATTTATATTTCCGTCATGTATTGTGAAAAAGTGAAGGTACTAGCAAGGTGTGCAAAATAGCACTTTCGAAATAGTATTCAGAACATGGGCTTATTGCCCACATGAGAGACGCGTATTTCGATATAAAGAAGACAAAGACAGTGGAGGTGAGCTATGAAGCTGTGTGGTTAACGGAGGGCGAAACTGATGAGAAATGACTAGTCACTTGATTACACATGGCTTCATCGAGAAATGCCACTTTATAACTGAATTGATGTACACTCATAACCTCGATTCGTTGAACTCGCCTACGACTCAACTGTACTGCACTGTGCTGTACTGGGGCTAGCTAGTGGCTTCATCTCCCGTGACATGCATGACATTCGATCACCGACTGATTCTGCAAGTTGTCCCTTGCAACTCCTGAGTCGTCCTGTCCTCAGTGTAATTTCTTCGCTTTGCTAGACCTGCGGATGCTCCTCGTCCATTATACTCATGAGAATCTCACGCTAGCAACAGCTCTCTTCAGCCGAGAATACACGAAATGGCAACAAGCCTAGGAACCCAAAGATCAGACCGGATCGGGTCATTTCTTTCTCGGAAGGGGCAGATTAGAGATCATCGATACAACTGCCCTTCGAGCTCATGGTGCATCTCGCAGGTCTGGACTCCTGCGTGTGTAATGGACGTTCGTACACCGGCGTTCAGTGGAAAGACAGCATTTCCACGTCCTTCCAGTGAGGCTGCGCTACTAAATCCGTCTGCCTTCGAAGAACTTTATGACACCGAAACCAGCGAAAGAGTTTCATGCTTGTATAGTATGATCGTGAGACTCCCCCTACTAGAAGACACCGTTAGCCCGGAAAAGTCCTAGGACATGTCCTAGACTGAATATGAACAGATGATTTCAGGTTTGAGGTTGTGGACAACCAGACATTTAAGTATGTTCAAAATGGTGTCAACACAAGTTCGATGTCAAATCAAAATAACATCCAAAACAGCAGTCTCAGCTGCCTAATACAAGTTGTGACGAATTTGTGATGAGTGATTCAACACAATCTCGCACCTTTCTGTTTCCAGGTCAAGTTACTAGAAGTCATGTTAAATAAACTGGAGAAAAGCACCACCAGCTGTTGCACCTTCCCGAAATGGTTTCGGATCAGGAGGAACTTCAGAAACTTCCCCCTGTCCATATTATCCCAGCTTGTCCTTTCCTTCCACAATCATTCGAGTCACGGGTCAACTACTAGAACCAACCTTGAGCTGAAGAACGGAACACCGCCAGGGAAAGTGCTGCTACATCGAGGACAACGCGCAATAAAGTCCACCTGCAATTCCTTTCAGAGCTCCTCTGTCGCACGCAGAGAAACGCCGGAACTGTTGAAGTAAAGCCAGAACCTTTGAGCTGAAGGTTTCACAAAAATGACCAGTTCGTAAACATGAATGCTATGCAATGCGTGTGATCATCTTCGTCCACAACCTTCCAGGCTATCGCCTGTTGGTAGGTAGCCGGCCGTCCCATGCTCGAAATTCGCACACCTGCTGGAAGGCAGGCGTAGCCCTACAAAACAGACATTCCAAATCTCATTCAAAAGATGCCTCCAGCACATATAGGTCCTGGCTTGGAAGAAACCTTCTTGCGCTACAGACGAAGCAGGGGTGAACCTTAAGGATTTCGATTTTGGAAGTTTTCACGGGACTTGTCTACAACGAGGAAATGAATCTGACAGCCATAATACCAAGACATTCTAAGAAAGCATGTTACCTGTGTCATGACTTGAGTGAAGTCAGAATAGGCTGTCTTTCGTCCATTTTCGTCAAGAGTCTTTTCCCAAGTCAACTCCTGCAAAGCACCTGATGATGTTTCCAACATCTCCAATCCGGCGCGGTTTCCGAATGTGAATTCCGGCAGGGACTGCACAAAGGAACACCAATGTTTGTGAGATATATTTTCATTAGCAAGGTGAAAAAGAAGGGAAGGTTCTGCGTAGTATAAGCAGCCTTAACTCCCTGGCTAGCCTAACCGAAAATTCTATATCGGCATCTGACTGGACAACTCAAGAACCTTGATAAACTGGACGGTGAGCCTTGGATATTCAGGCTTCTGAATCTTCTGGGCAATAACTTCATTCCAGCCTTAAAAGCATAATCACCTTGCAAGCACAACACAAAATAGCATCCGAGTGATTCCAGAAAATCTTGAAAAGTGCTTCACTGTTTGAGTAGTCCGTTCTTTCAAGTTCTCTGGTTAGCTCCATGCCCATGTAGCTCCTGTAAAAACGAAATTTATTCTGTATTAGCACAGAAAATTTACTAGATCCCAGAAAGCACAATTTTGTTTCCACTCTTTACCTCAACTTTATCGAACCTGATCCTTTCCTTCCGCCGAAGAACATTTGCAGTTATTGTCGTCCATGTATAAGACTAGACGCAGAGACGCAACTGCTTCGAATGGAGAAGATACTTCACCGAAGATGGCAAACACACAGCAATATTTCTTGACTCTGAGTGGCTGTGTTAGCTATAACATTAGCAAATCATACCCACTGATTCCAAGACTGACTTAACTTAATTTAAACGTAGGAACAGAGCTGATATTAGGTACTGACAGAAATGAAACTGAAATTCGTGTAAGTTATGACTAGGAGGGAACGCGTATCGTAGGTTCGTTCAGGAAAATAAATATCTCCTTTTGCACACGGCGTTTGTAGAGACTTTGACACGGATTTATTGTTTCCCATTCATACATCTAGTTAGCGGAGGGGAGGGTTGTACGTTCTCTATTTCCTCATCCCGAAGGCGATTCTCGGTCGCGCTTCCGGCTCAAGTCTATAGTACAAAAATGACCAAAAATCTCGGACGCAACCACCACTGTATGAGGAAATTGAACTAGAAATGATGAATGACGGGGGACGGGAAAGAGCTAGACGGAAGATCAAAAAAACTGAAAACGAATGTGTCAAACCATCAAAAATATCCCACGTGCTGATTTATGAAAACTGCATATTCACGACTGCAATCCTGCCGATACTGAAGTTTTAGAACTGCGTAAATTCAGGTGTACTCGTACCCACATATGTCCAATACAGACGTGTGAACGACATGAAAATAAAATCCACATTTCTAACATTAGGACTACCGCTGTGCAAAACAAAATTTCGCTCCAGCATTGTTTAGACCTTCAGATCTTTCAGGTAATCAACGAAATCAGCACCAACCCCATCTTGGAAGGAGAAAGTCGTCATGAAGGACTGCTTCCTCTCTTAAGAAAAGGATGTACAAATTTTCCAAAGCGTTGGGTCCTGGATCTAAATGGGAGTGTGTTACGGTGCTACGGGACGAATACACAAAGATAACCATTATGCTATGCCTCTAGAAGAAAGCTATATCTTAATGAAGTTCACGTACAAACTGACAACTCGTGACACAAATACTGTTGATCCTTCCGTTTCGAAGCAATTCGTTTTGAACACTCACCAGGATATGAACGTTTAGCGAGCTGGTGTCACATGATGGGCTACAATTTGATTCAAAAGAATGTGGAGCTGATTGAAGGATGACGTACTAAGGAAGATTCCAAGTGATGGAAGAATCTCCGATAAAATAGCACATGAACACCAAAGCGCAAGTTGTTCTTATGGTTACCTTGATAAAAAGGATAAAATCAGTTCAATAACAACGGCAATACAAGAAAAACTAATATTATTCTCTTCCAAAACACTAAAGTTCTTTCCATGTCACGACGTCTTTACGCTGTTTGGTTACTGCTTTGCAAGTCTTCTAAAGAATCGCGACATAATCTGGGATACCGTACCAACCTTCTACTTACCACATATAACGCGTTCACACGTGTGCAAAATTGGGCACTTTTTGTTGACAGAAGGAGCATGTTCACGACCTGGTATACCATTTCTTATTACCCGGCCTTATGAGAATAGTACGATCTGAGCATCTTAGAAACCCAAAGCTACCGTCTTATATCTGAGATTTACAAAACCTAGCTGACTTCAACATGAGGACATTCCTTTGGAGAAAAACCATAGATAAATTCTTGCACCCTGATTTAATTAGGACAACCTATTTCAATTTCTTTGAAGAAGTACGTGAGAAAACTGGAAGTATATGACACTCGTTCTAGACACCAGATAAGTAGACATACATCTTTTATCTTGTTGTTCTAGTATAGGGAACTGACAAGACCAAAGTAATCCAACCAACAAAACATCGTCCCGGGGCAAAGAAGGGTCAGAATTATAGGGTGTCACTGACTTGTTTTGACGAGGAAAGTAATTGTGAAGGGTTCAATTTTCCACAATACGTACTAGAGATCAGACCTTCTCAACATGTCTTAAGAACGACTACACGACATAAAATTAATTACTTCACCCTCTAGAAGATAAGTCCGCAGGCTACCCGGGATCACTATATAAGAGCACATTCATTTAAAAAGTGCACAAAAAATACACCAAAAAGAGTCACCCTTACATAATGGATCACAAAAGCTATTTATAAAGCTCACGTGATTAAATTTATCTCTATGATAATATTAAATTTAAATCGTGTCTTGGACAAAAAAAAATCAAGATCAATAGAACAAGAGTGTGACTATCAAATACGGAAACAAAGATTCAAACTCATTCACCGTTTCTGATACTCGAAATCAATATACAAGTTAATCGCGACGATTTCACTGTAACAACATATCCACACATTCGACACAGCTAGAATCTATCATGATAGATACGTGTTGTAAAGATTCGTGAAATCCGAGAAACTCACAATTCACACGTTAACAGAATATGGTCAATTTCACATATCAGATCACATAGAAATATAGTTCTTGGTATTAAAGATAAAAATTTTACAGCTAATCGCGATTTGACCTATCCTAAATTGCATGCCTCTGCTCTTGATTTCCCTTGATCTTGACGAGGGTTTAAGAGTCATCCATACAAGATAAGATCAATGATTCCTGACTGGTCATAACATCAAGAATCGAGTTTTCAAAGAAAGTCATTTTCTCTTGAATGTCAATATTTTGTCAGAGAAATACATTCCCGATTCAGGTTCTGAGATAACTACATGATTTAAGAACAAAACTTCCCAAATCAAATCACCTGTAACTCTGGAGAACTCTTCGGGCAAGAACAAGTGCTTCAGGAGTTGCAGGTGGTGGATGTCTGGTTCCTCCCAGATGTGACCCAAGCCGGGATGGAGCCAACGCCATCGCCACTCGCTGGACAGATGCCACCACAGTGCGCACATACTGCCGTGCCATGGCAGCAACACTATCTCTAGTGTGCACCTCAAATGCAAATTGAAACGCTATAGTCAAGACGCTTCTCAAGTGGCACGCCGAAGCTCCAGAGTCTCCTACGAGCCGAGCCTCTGATCCACCCTCAAGTGTAGATGTCAAATCCAAAGTTCGGGACAAGCCATATCCATCCTGTCCGTTGAAGAAAAATCCAGTCGAGTTGCGTCCATAAAGTAGTGTTAGAACATATAAACACACAAGTGGAAACGTCACGTTATAATTGCATTATGTCTATTATCACAAATTGCATCCACTCAGCAAAATGGCAACGCTTCCTCAACATGTGATATTCCAAAAGATTATGGAAGGCAGAAGTGGAACGTCATAAGGTACTTACGACTATGCCACTGTCCAAGGGGATAACCCGGAAACCAGACGCAAGAAGAGGAACATCGTCTGTGACTGCGACGTCAACCGGAGCGAACACGAGTTGCGCACATGCACCCACGGCATTCTCATCGACACCACTACACAACTGCACACCAAACAGTGTCATCTTCTACTGAGAAAACGCATTCCTTCAATTTCTCAAGAACGTTTGAAATCCATTTCAGCATTGGTGACATAAATTACTTGTGTGAAGCGCGATTGAAACTCCTCTATGTAGATCCATCTATTCCTCCACAACACATAGAATCCAGCTCAACATCTGGTCAAAACGAATTTTCATCGTTCTATCCTTGTGCGATTAATTATCTGAGTCGGGAACAAAACAGATAAGAACACAAACTGAGCGAACTTAGAGGTTATGGAAACCAACCTGCAATAAGAACGAATCACTCCGGTTCAACACGCCTCCGTCTTGTGTTGGGGAGTGTCCCTCTAATTTCACCACCTCCAAAAACTAGCCATCCAAGCAAACCAAATGCGAAAATTTAAGCCAAGGCGATGAATCTGATTTCAAAGCGAGCGTACAGTGATTTCTGAGTCAAACAATCCCAGAGCTCCAGAAACATGCTGATATCCAAATAATACCTCTTCTTGCTCCACGGCGTGGGCAAGAGGTAGTGGTAACTGGCCACCACATAAGCTCCCACGTGACTCGGACCCAACGTAATTAGTGGACCGAAGAGCTGCAGCAGCATCAGCATCTATTTCACAGTCTGCCCACTCTGATCGATGCTCACGAAGGAATCGAATCAAAAGCGCAGGTGGAACGTTCTGAAAGGCAGGCGCATGTGCACATTAGCTGCCAGTATTTTAGAAGAAGCCATGAACTTGCAAGACAAATCGTTAAGGTCTTCAGCCCTCCAGATTAACTTTGACTCGGGACGTTTCAGCGTCACGTCAAATGTTACTATATAATTGAAATTACATCATGGAAGGGTGAATGATCCACATTGAGAATTGTGAGACTCTTATGCAACAGTTATATATAAGGGATTCTACAGTGAGCAAACAAAGGGAAAAAATTCTGCAAAGACTTTCACCTGTAGCAACATGGAGGCTTTGGCACACAAGATTCCGCCACCGATGGAGCATAATCTATCTGTGGCATTTGGGCCTCCTCCGAACTGCTTGGAGTTCGGATTGGGATTTACGACCACGCTGACATCATCCATTCCATCGCTAGGCAACGTAGTCCAACCGTCGTCTGCAAACCCATTGACCGCCTCGTTGAAACCCCTACATGACAGAACATAAAGTTGGTAAAACCACAACCGTAAAGCATATTCCAACCATCATGACTTTCTTGCAGCTGTGGAAGGTATGCACCTCTCTGAAAATCCTTCACTTACCTTGCAAGGCGCTGGCTGAGGGCACGCAAGACGGCTGGTTGCTGGTCACTTCCGAGAACCACCTCACCTGGAATCTCCTGAGCTAGTCTACGCAAGTGACGCAATGCCTGATTACAATCACAAAAAAGATGTAAGCGGGTGGCACGAGAACAAAGTCGGGAACGAAGCATGCTGCTGTTCACCAAGGATCGAGCTCCGTCACAGCATGATCAAGCTCCATGATTCGAACTTACCCCTATCGTCATCTTCTGGGCAAGCACCGCTGATGACTCGTAAAGAGGTCGAAGCACTTCAGGTACACTCCAAGGCTAAAAAAAAACACAAACAAGCACATATCAGTCAATACCTTATCCCACTGATGAGATTCCTGCTTGTTTCTGGTGCAGCAAGATTTGAAAACCTTTTAAGCTGGAGGCGATCGGATTGCAGCATTACCTCGAGATCCATGTGATCAACTATGTGGATGATACAACCGCCGCCTTCGCAAGGACGAATCAAGTAACCACTTGGGAGCATTTCTGCTCGAACGAAGAATTGCACCGGTGGCATTGTCGGTGCACCATGAGCTCCACTCAAGGAACGCTCGCAAATCTGTTCCCATACAACAGCATCTAAGACTTCATGAAGAATGATCATCATAGATAGAACATTGCAGCAGATCATGTGACCGTCGAATCTTCTGATAAATCGCACGAAAGGCAAAGTACATACCACAAGATTGCCATCCTCCAAAAACGATGTGTAACGCAACGTACAAAAATCCCTCGCAGGTGCAAGGGTAGTTGGTGCATACATCTGCGAGTGGCACATGCAAGGACCGATGAGTACTCTCGTATACACGTCGGAACGCTGGCAGTTTTGACGATGGGTATTCCGTCTTCCAGCTCGTATCAGAGGTTAGCATCTTGAACAAGGAAGGTAGACAATGACTGACTTCTCGCTCCACATGTCCTACTCATCCTACAAACCGAAGACCACCTCGTGGTTCTCTTTCAGGTAGAGCATGGATGCCTGCGAGAGGACCTCTCGCGTCTATGAGGGTATGTCTATGTTAACTAGTGCAGTTCATCGGCCCTTCGCAGCCACCAGTCGTAGCATCAAACCTGTGTTCCCAGGAGGAACATATCGATCGGTCAGCAACCAAAACTTTCGGTATGAACCTTCGACTGTACAAACTCTTCTACCAGGAAATACGACCATAGGTTCAGCGGGGAACACCATGAGAATTGCACATCCAAAGCTTCTTCAAGGTCAATTCAGATGACGATGAGCTGAGAATTGCAGGAAGCTTCAGTGGATGGATCAGTTCGGGACTCTCCGCAGACCAGTTCCATGAACACTTCTCGCATTTCTGTTGTGATGTCTCGTCGTGCTAGGTGTCGTCATGGCCGTCATCCAGGGTGTAGTTTAGAGGACTTTCGTCTCCGACATCAGAACGCATGCTGGGAATTCAGAATACCAGTCCGCGGAATTCCGAAGCTGTCGAACCCATGCCATATAATCTTGTCTCGCGAGCAGTCTAAGACTATATTCATGGGCCAAGACAAGCTAATTCTTGGCCGAAGAGTTCGTGGTTTACGTGGCCTAGCTCCCAACGGGAAAGTTGCGGAGAAATTCTACGTAGGCTGCATTGTTGGGCACTTCCCCCTCCAGCCTACTGCAGATAATATGCCCGTGGTTTACGTGAGACAGTACCTGAGTGTAAATCAGCTCGACAGTGCCACCGTTTCCGGTGGGGAAGGCTCCAAGAACGTCCAGCCGCCGACAGTCTCGGAGCCATGCAGGTCTGTCCTTGAGAACATCCGCGACCTGTCAGAGATTTTACCTGTGTCAGTAGAATTCGTTGCCATCAAAACATTAAATGCCACAGCTCGTATGATCGCGGACGTCCATCGTGGACTTCCACCTCACATCAGGCGTGCCCGTCAATCCATTGATACAAGCTCTAGGAAACGGGCGATCTTTCTCACCTTCGTGGGTTCGAGGCCCACTAAGCCGCATGCTCGTGCAGCCACTCCAGCACAACCGTGTGAAATGGCTACAATGCCAATCGAGTCCGGACCAGGCTGCAGAACCACAAGCGTTGCTGTGAGTGCCCGAAATCCTCAACCTAAAATCGCAAAAGAAGTCGATCGCATCGATGCGGCATTGGTCAAATACAAGTAGCTGGGGCTGTGCTCCCGGAAATATAGGAAGTCAGTCAGGTCCACAGAAGTGACGAGTTCATTGAGCTACGGGCTCGAGCACGGGAGGTACAGATGCTCTTGGTTCACCGACGGCCGGGAAAGAATTGCTGGCTGGCTACTGACCTTCATCCCGGGCATCTGGATCCAGTCAATTGCAGTTCCTGTTGCCTTGGCCAGAAACTCTGTCAAGGTTTCTTCTGCAATCGCCAGTAACCTGCAACGCATGAATAGCCCAAATCAATATGGTGCGTCTGGAGAGCCGCCAGAAAATACAGCGCTCTCCGGCGAGAGACGCAGAGAGGAATCGACCGATTGGGAGAGGGAAAAGAACCAACCCAGCAGGACTTGCATCCCGCGGGGGATGCTGCGGTGTTGGATGTCGTTGAAGTCCACCCGTGACAACAGATTCAGAACTCGTGTCAGGCGTGGCCATCCCTGCCTGCGCAGGCAAAAGCAAACTCAGGCGCCTTAGAGTTGAACCATCTTCAACACCATGCTCTTGAATTGTTGCGGTAAGTGATGGCAGCCTTTCACAATTCCTTGGCTGCGGCATGACCTACGCAGGACCAACTTTTTCTGGTCAACAGATTCCAGAGCGCCACCCGTCTCTCCCATAACCCTGCCGACATGAATCAGACTTGCTTTGGACTTGCAACGAGAGCTCAGCTACAGCGAGAGCGAGGGCGAGGCCGAGGGCGAAGAAGTGGCAAGAGGGAAGTGGGAAGACGGGAGAGGGTGAGAGGGAAGGGAGAAGAACCTGCTCGTGCAGCCGGCGGGATGGCTTCAAGTTCCTCTCGGAACTCGTGTGCTGACGAAGATACTGATTCTCGATAGCCAGCTGAGAAGTGTGCTTCGAGAGGCGCTCATTCTCTTCCATGAGCAGCTTGTTCAGCGCGGTGAGTTTCGCATTCACACTCAGAAGCCGGGTGGCTTCTTTTCGTTGCTTCTCGCGGCACCTGTACCACGCCCAGACGCAGCGGTGACGGCTTAATGACTGCTCATTCACGCTCATCTCTACACGGTCGGGACGCACGTGGCCCTCTCACATCTTTCACTGGAAATGCAGCACAAGCCAAAAGCGATCTCTACTGCTAGCGAACGAGTTAGAAGCGCGGCATTGGCATCCCGCCCGCGCTGATGCATTGCTGCATGCTGTCGCGGGCGCAATGCCGGCGACGGCATTAGCCCCGGGGGCTTGGCGCAGTCTGAGCCCGGCGCGCGCAAGATCAGCTGGCCAGCTCCCCGAGGTTGGAGAAAATCGGAGGGGCCGTGCATGCCCTCGTTCTTGGTCGTCATACCGGGCCGGCCCCCCGATGGAGATTACAGCCGGATCCGCCATCACCTGAAGTCACGAGGCGACACGCGGGGAGACGACCTGCTGTGATATTAGCGCACTGTTGGATGGTGAAATTGTTGGGCTTACCGTCGATTCTGGAACCAGACTTTGATCTGCTTCGGCTCGATGTTGGCAAGAATGGGGCAATCTTTGATCAGCTGCTGACGCCTTATCGAGCTGGGCTTCGGGCACTCATTGTAGACGCGCTCCAAAGCCTCCACCTGTTCGTTTGTGTAGCGCACATACTTGCCGGAAGCATCCATCACGCTCCTACTTTCTCTTTTCGTCACTGCCATCCGCTTCTGTGCCTGTCGACCCACATTACGCCTCCAATCTGCTTTAACCTCTGCTGTCTGTGGTTCCTCTAGCAATCACTACGAGAGTTGACACTTAAATTGCCCGTGCCTCCAGAGATGTGCAACTTGGCCCAGCGTTTCAATCTCCGTTGCCCAGTGATTTACGCAGCACAAATGTGCGAGAGCCTACGACGACGTCACTTTCTCGTGTACGAGCGACCTATCTTGTTTGCCTACGTGCAGCACGAGAGCAGGAGAGCAAATGCATTTGGAAAAGAAAGGCCTACGGCGCGCCCGGCGGCCGACTCAGATATCACGCACAACCAACGCACGATGAACGACTCATGCTCAGACTATATTCAGCTCAAAATGCAGCAGATGGTACACGATTACGCGCACGCGACTCTCAACAACAGCAACCATCTAGAGTTCGGCCTCTTCTATTCAATTATCGGCCCGGATGCAGGAGCTGGCGGACCTGCGTCGGCCCAGCTCGACCTCTACGACGGCAGTGAAACAAAGAAACTCAAAAGCATGCTCGCTCGACCAAGATGTGCCAGAGCAAGAGATGAATTAGCGGGCCCGAGCGCAAGAATCTGAGACGGGAAGAATTGCCAGGCCACCACTCGAGGCACGCAGAAGTCGGACCTGAGGCGAGGGGCAAATGGGATGGCAGCGCAGGAGGAGAGGAGGAGATGAAGGGAGTCCGGATGAGATGCAGTAACTTGACCGACGCGGGCGAGGAAGCAAGAGAGAGAGAAAGGAGAGAGAGAGAGAGAGAGAGAGAGAGAGAGAGAGAGAGAGAGAGAGGAAGTAAGACATGCAGAGAGCTAGAGGCAGGCCAAGGAAGCTTACACTCCTCACTCACAGCCTGCTTGCTTGCACCCCTCCATGATTAGCTCCCCCTGCGCCACCAAACCTTCTTCCTTCAATCAAGCACAGCGCAACGACGCCTTGCCTACTACTACTGCTACTACTACTTGTGCCCCGGTCGACTGCTCGGCTGTGCCTGCGGTGCTCTTCTCTTCTCCACTCCCACTCCCACTCCACTCTCCTCTCGCTTTCATTCATTCGCGACAACAGTGCGGCATGGCACACTTCTCCCCCCCAGGCAGGCAGGCAAGGCAGCCCAGCCCAGCCTCACCCTCCTCCTCCTCCTCCTCTTCCTCTTCCTGCTGTTGCTGCTGCTGCTGCGCCTTGCTGGTGATCGCCCTGAGCCCTGAGCCTCACCGCCCCCCTCCCCTGCCCTCCCCTCCCTCCCTCCCTCCCTCGACACTCGAGACTCCACTCACAGTGTCCGAGAGGCCTGCTCTGTTGCTGCTGCTGCTCGTCAAGAGAGAAAAGGAGTGAGTGCAAGCGACGACAACAGATACTGGTGGTGTCGGTAAGTCCGACTGATAGGAGCCAGTCACGCTAGGAGGAGGACGCGAAGCTGCCTGCCTGCCGAGCTAAGCACCAGCACTGAGGCCCGGCACATGGTACATCGTCTCACGTATGAGAAGTTAGAAGCAGTGGTTACAGGCCCCCGAGGCTGGCACGCAGGCAGGCAAGCAGGCGCGCGGGCAGCCAGGCAGCCAGGCCGATGATGGAGGGAAGGATGGAGGGAAGGAAGGCCGGAAGGAAGGAAGCAAGGCAGCCAGGCAGCCAGGCCTGTGAGTCGGCAACGAAAGAAGCCCTGCACTAATCTATTTCTTTTATCCCTCCTCCTCCCCCCTCCCCCTTACCCCTGCCCCTCGCCCCCTCGCCCCCCTTCTCCCCTTCAGCCCCCACCGTGTGCCCCTCCCCCCCCTCTCTCTCTCTCTCTCTCTCTCTCTCTCTTCACAACGCTAGTAGTGCAGTGGTTAGTTGGGGGGGTGGGGGGAGGGGCTGGGGACTAGGCAGCGCTACAAAGGAAGATAAAGATTTGACGTAGACGCATGCCGATCGACGAGTGGTGGTTAGGAGTGTAAAAAAAAGTCGGGCGAATTCTCGATGGGGGGGGGGGGGGGGGAAGGAAAAAAGGAGGGAGGGAGGAAATTAAAATCAAAGGAGATATGGCTACGGTGGTGGCCGAGGCATGGATGGGTCGCTTCAAAGGCCCGCTCGCTCCCAGAAAGATAAACAAGTTGCCAACGCCGAACTCGCCGGACGCTTTTTCTTTTTTTTTAAGCCCCCGCCGGCTTTGCCCCGGATCAAGCCCAGCCTTCCTTTCGTCCTTCATACCTCCGTCCCCCACCCCCCTCTCTTTCTCCCTTTCTCTTCCTCTCCCTCTTTCCCAGTCCTTCCGTCCGTCCGTCCGCCCGCCCGCTGTTTAAGGACACATAGTTGCGACCTTCCCACGTTCTCTCTCTCTCGCTCGCGTGGTGTGAGTCTCGGTTGTTGCTGTTCGTTGCTCGCTCATTCATTCATTCATGGCCATCGGTCGCAGCCCCCGGTGCCCCACCTCTCCCTCCCTCGGGGCAAAAGCAGCCGAGCTGAGCCGAGCCGAGCCGAGCCTTAGCATTCTATTCCATACCTGCAGGAGGGGCTGCGGAGGGACGAGCACGCTTTTATTGCCGCGCCTACGGACGGGACGCGACGCGACGCGACGCTCCTAGGGACCGGGAGCGGAGTGCTTACTTCTCTCTCTCTGTGCGGGGGAAGAGTAAAGGCATCCATCCGCATGTCTTTGCTGCTCTGATCTGCCCTTTCCCCTCCCCCAGCCCCAGCCCCAGCCCCTCCCCCGTCTCTGCTCAGAAGGTGACGGTGACTGGCACCAGCGCAGCCACCCGGCAAACGTCGGGCTTCTCCGGGACTCGGCGAATAAAGAGGGGGGAGCGAGATCAGCCCCCGTATTATTACGCCGCGGTCGTCCTGCTCAGATCGTCTTCGTATCACGGCCAGCAGTCGTTGGATACAGGGCGAGGAATTACAGAGCGATCGCTGGCACCTTCGCTCTGCCATGCCTCAAATGCCTGCCCTCGCCTCGCCTTGCCTTGCCTTGCCTTGCCTTGCCTGCCGTGTCACGGATTAAAAGGATCGGTCGGAGTGGCTCGTACTTTGGCCCAGGCTTGTCTTTTTGCTTCTCTATGACGGGACTGCTCGAGCAGATTCCATGTATGCGTTTGCGCAGTGCAGTACACCGTCGCGTCTACTGCATCGTTCGATTCTCGGTGTTTCGTAGGCCGAAGACATTGCAGAAGAGTGCAATGCTTTGCATTGCAGAATCATGAGGGTCCTTCTAAGTACTTATCAGATTAGGTAGGGGCGGAGAAAGGTAGGCCGTTGAGATGAGAATTTGTGTGCCAAGTCTGAGGAGGCAAGGAGCCGTGCGTGATTCTCATCAATGAACACCTCAATCACGACTAGTGCATGTTCAGATGCAAGTCATGATGCATGTAATAGAAGCAGAAGTTTTTAGGAGACGAGGGCGAAGATGAGGAACACGGCAGCAGCGTTGATGTGCAACAAATCCTCACTCCAGGGGGAGGGGGGGAGGGGGGTGCCGACTCCCCCGCTGGACGTGGGCATAAGTCATAAGAAAGAGTCGGCGCGAGATGCGATTGGCGCACTCCCTTTTTCGATCTATCATGAGGTCACCCGAATGTTGTTACATCGCTGCTGGTGTCTTTGCGCGAGAGAGGAGAGAGATATTTATGATTTTACTTCCTAGAAGTCGATATCATTGAGGTCTAGACGAGAAAAACATAATGATGGTATTGCAAGTGAATCCAAGTCAACTTCCTCGCACAAGAATGGCGAATCATGTACAAGAGACGGGCAATGGGCGAAGGCCAAAGGGCACGGAAAGCAAGCGAGCAAGCAAATCGAGCAGCGGCAAAAGGGGAGGGGCACAACACTAAGAAGCCATGGCAGCACCCGAGAGACAGAGCCGGAGCGAAAGTATGCAAAGGACACGCGAAAATCATTCATCTCACGTATTCCTACTCTTGCGACCGATTCCAGTGTAACACGTAAGAAGGTGAATCTAGATAGATGAAAACAAACCTAGCCTTTAATAAAGGAATGTACTTGGCGAAGATCGTACTCGAGTATTGTAGGTTACCGATGTTTGTTTAGGCATGTCATCATAATATTTCTAGATAAGGAGAGTCCTTTGTGCAGCGAGAACGTTGTTTAGCGAGGGCGACTGCGCCATTCTCTCGACGCAAACACGCTTCGATCTGGCATTTAGAGCCCACTTTAGAGGCGGTACGATGTTCTAAAACGAGCAAGGCTGGCTGGCTGGCTGGCTGGCCGGCCGGCGAAGGGAGCGAGGGCAAGGCGAGGCAGTAGAGAGGGCGACGCAGGGCCCCCCTCATGATTGGAAATTCAAGTGACACCAATGCAGCAAACATTTTTAGGCTTCATAATAACTTGATACCGGCCGGGCATATGTCAACAGCGAGAACCACAGATCGCCTACCTGAAGTAAACTCATTGCAGTACGCCTCGCTCTAAACTCCCCGAATAGAATCACGAAGGCTCAGCGCATCCGGGCCTGCCTGCCAGCCAGCCAGCCAGCCATCCAGTAGTCCACCCCCACAGAGAGACGACCGAGGATCGATCGTCGAGTGGTTGATGGCACAGGATAGATGAAACAAACGGAGGATATGACATGATGAATTATATCAAATGCCGGATAAAAAGGTAACACAGAATGCGACTGCGCTTCCGATTGATGGGGCGACGGGGGCGAGCTTTATTTGTAACTAACATAACTAACTCAAGAAGCATCACTTTTTATTTCGGAAAGTAAAGTTAGGTCACTGGTAAATTCTTTTCTTCTTTCAGCATTTTGTCATGAATCTAACCTCGGGGCGTCATTATTTACAATTATAAGGTGGGCATTGCTTACACGACCTCATGAAGGTCGCCAACGGGGGGCTTCGCAACTACAAGCCAGCCCCAAAGAATAATGGTCCATTATGATGCGCGAAAGAGCCAAACTCCTCGCTCTTCCCGATCAGCCCCGCCCGATCTTCTACTTCATCCGCTGCAATAGTGCTTCTTTCCTGAACTTCGTGTAAGAAGAGTACGCACATTCATGAACGAGAGCGCGCAACGCAACCGATTCTCGACTTTCGAGACGCTCTCATTTGCGCATCTCTCATCCTTCCCGCACCACCATCGCATCGAGCCTCTCCCTCTCTCTCTCTCTCTCTCTGTCTGAATCTGGAGGCTCCCCCGCCCCTTCCCTCTCCCTCGCCCTCTCCCGCGCTGCTCCAGCCCTCTCTAAATTACCACCTCCGCGGTCGCTGGGGCATGCAATCCAGACGCATAGTGCATCAAATCTATACGCTTTCTGGTCTATCGAGCTACGCCATCTGCTTACGAAAGCGCGAAGAATCAAGTCTGATCGCAGCGGGGGCAGAGCCGGGCCGCGCGACAGGCAGGCACGCAGCCCAGGTCGGGGCAGGGGCAGGGGCAGGCCAGCGGGGGCAGTGGGGGCAGGAGGCAGGAGGCAAGGGGGGAGGGGCAAGGAAAATTTGCGCTAGAGGGCGAGTCTTTTCAAATACTTGTTGGAACAGCGGTACGTGTACAGAACCAATATTCATCCATCCATTCATCCATCCATTCCCCCCTTCCGTCCGACCAACCAGCGCCTTGGCTTTGAGTACGTGCATCTGACACCCGCAGTGCTTCGTCGTACGCTAGTGGAAGGAAAAAGCCACGAGCCAGGGCCGGGACGGGAGGGGAGGGGGGGACGCTTAGTAATCCGTCGGAGCAAGCCCTCGGAGTACGGCGGTACATTCAGTGCTGTACGCGGAAGGCAAGGGAAGCGAAGGCCGAGGCTTTTGAATTAGAATAATGTAGTCATAACTCTCCAGTAGCCTTTTGATCCTGGGCTCCATCTTATACCTGGAACAGACCGCCAGCTGCAGCACGTCTGCCGGTTGTGCACGACATGGTTTCCTTATTATTTGCCATTCCCGGCCGAAGGAAGGATCGAATGCTTCGGTCGTAGAGGGACGGCGGACGGCGGAGCTGATGTGCTAGCTCCGATCGACGGAGCTAGCGCTTAATCTCCACTGTCCCCGACTTGCTCATATGACACGGCGTTGCATTGGGTTCCCCTCCCTAAACACCTCCCACGCTGCGCTGATCTAGACGCCTAGACGGCTGGGGTTAGGGGGGGGATGGCAGAGCGGCCCGGCCCGGCCCGGCCCAGACCGGGCGGCCCTGCGCTTCGGGGAGGCAATCTGCTATAACCTGCCCTGGTGCCACATGGGATGGGATGGGATGGTCGGGTCGGGTCGGGTGGCATGGCATGCATGCATGCCATGGGCTGGGGCTGGGACTGGGATGTACGTTGCAAAACAAGCAGTGGCAGCAGCACGGCGTGCATGCAGCTGTTGGAGGGGCAGCAGCATGTTCGGCTCAGCCATCGATTGAGTTGCGGCAAATTATCCATCCCCCGCTGCACGCGAACGACCCGAGCAAGGCAAGGCAAGGCAAGGAAGCGATCGCGACACACTGCGAGGGGCGGTAGGCAAGGGAGAGGCAAGGAGGAGGGGGTGGGGGGGGGGGGGCAGCGGGAGAATCGTTTCCGTGTGTTAGGCGAGGAAGACCCGGCTGGTCACTTTCAAGCGAAACTCGTCACTTTCGAAGCCCTGAATTGAAGATGAAGGGGGTTCATTGGCGGCGCAGGGCAAGGGAGAAAAGCTAAAGCACGCAGGCAGGCAGGCAGGGGCAGGCAGGGGGCAGGCAGGCAGGCTCGACCGCCAGGTGGACTCTCTTACGCAACGAGGAGCCTTGCGTCACGCGAGAGAGAGGGCCGATGGAGAAAGTCGGAGAACGAGATCCAGGAGGACGAGGACGAGGACGAGGAGGGGCTCTGGCCCTCGGCCCCCCGACGAGAGAGCGACTTGAGTCCGGAAGAAGAGAGCCCCCGGAGACGAGGAGAAGGGGGAAGTGCATGAAGTTGACGACGACGACGACGACGACGGGGGACGGCGAGGGGGGGAGGGGAGCGGAGGGAGGGAGAAACGGGGGAGAGGAGCGGGGGCAGGGGTAGGTCCAGCTCGGCAATCATGGCCCTGCCCGAGGAGCAGGGTGTCCCTAGACTAGACCACTGGTTCCGAAGCGGGACGGGGGAGCGTTGAGCAGTAATGGCGACGGCATCATAATGACGCGCGTTATTGGGCGCGGCCCACGGGTCGGCTCCCGTCTTCGGACCCGCATGTCGAGGGACAGAAGCTGAGCTGTTCCCTACGCCATGGCCCTTAAGACTCACTGGACCACCCCACCCATCACCCGCGCCTTCACTTCAGCCCTTCCCCATACCCTACCTAACTCCCTACCTACCTACTATTACCCACAAGTACTCCCCCAGCCCCTCCTCCGCCTCTACATCCCACCCCCACCCCCCTCCTCTACATCCCCTCAGCCACAAGCCCCGCCGTGTCGCCCTAATGCTTCCCGTCAATGCCTCGAAGCACATGAACACCCACCGGCCTCGGTCGTCGGATGGGCTTCTTTCGCAAGCGCGCGTGTTCTGAGTCTTCGATATCGAATATTCTTCGGGGTTATTCCTCCGCCAGGCTCCCAGAGCGAGGGCTAACGCAGCAGCACCCCCGGGGAAGGGGGTTATATAGGGACCGGTGCTAAAGATCCACCCTCCTCCAATTATGGGTACATCATCGGGCCTGCTCACTGCCGCTCTCGCTTCCTCCATCTCGTCCTTCCTTCCGTCCGTCCTGACCAGGTCAGTCGCTCCCGTCCCCCCATCGTCGTCGTCGTCGTCGATGCCCAAACGGGAAGAAGCGAGGGAGGGAGTGAGTGAGTGGTACGACCATCATACGAAGCCCATTGATTCATTCATTCGCTAGCCCCATGAAAGGGACGTTACAATCATGTATGGATGGATGGATCTCTACGCATGGCATCCTATATATGGCGCCCCCCTCCCCCCCCTCGGCCATCATACGCTGGTCATTGCGGCGGCCTTGGCGGCCTCTACCGCCTTCGTACGCCGATCGGCACAGGCCCCGGCGCCGGGGTCCTCGCCCCCCGTCCCAGTCCGCCACCCCCTTATCCGCAGGTGCCTGAGCCCCACGAAACGCGTAAACTCCATCTGCTATTTCGGCGGAGGCGAGAGCGAGCGAGCGAGCGAGACGCCAAGTCGGAATAATTGGGGCAGGGCGGGCAGGGCGGGGGCAGGGCAGCCCCTGCCGCGCCACTCGGTACGACAGAGCGCTCGCGCGTACTACAAAGACCCCGTTTGGGCGGGCCGCGGGCGTGGGGGGTCGTCGGCGGGGATTTGCTCTGAGGGTGGGGGGGGGAGGGGGGGGGGGCTGGAGAGGCCCCACCAGGGGGCGACTGTCAGGTTCCGACTCCGATTTGGCGACGTCGCCGAAGGGACTCTACGCCCCAGCCCCGTGTTAGCAGATACACAAAATCTTACGGAAAAGTGCAGACCATAATGAGGGCCCGGGTGGCCGGATCTGGGCCGTGCAACTCAAACGAGGGGATGGGATGGTCAGAGGGGCTAAGCAAGTGAAGGGGGAATTTGGGGGAGAGATCGCCGAACGACGAGGGGCAGTATGTCCCGAACCGGGCTGCGATGCGCCTTTACGCCGCGGTGGGCCCGGGCTCCGAGTCAGGCGCGCCCTCATTCACTGCGCGACGCTGAAGTCCGGGGCGCTTTTGCAGGCGTTTAGGGTTGGGCTAAGCCTCCGCATTAAGAGCCTTAAGTCGTCCGATTAGGAGCCGGATTAATGTGATCCGACCGCGAGATATCGGTCGGAACCAAACCTTACGGCTGTCGGAGCTTTGGATCATGCGCTTCGAGGGCTCGTGCCCAGAGATGGATGGAGCGATGGCGCGATGGATGGATGGATGGCGCTCCGGACGGCCTGCCCGTCACGGGGAACGATCCATCGGTAGTAGGTCTGTTCGAGTATAAGGAATCTACGGCACCTGCCGGTGCTGCTGTGGGGAGCCTACGAGCCACCCGCCGTAGGACTGGTCGTACGTCGGGGCCCCAGGGGGCCAGGGGCCTGGGGCCTGGGGCTCGGGGTGGGGAGGATATTGGAGCCGCGAACGATTGCGGGAGCGCGAGAGCGAGCGGAGATTGTGTGATATTTTTGTCTCTTGAATATTGTATTGAGTGGGGGGCTGTACAGGTTGCCTGGAAAGGTGAGGTGCAGTTACGGCAGCGGCAGCAGCAACAGAAGCGAAGCGGTGGTGGGAGTGATGGAAGTTGTGGTAGTAGTGGCGCTGCTGCGGCCGATATCTTTTCTCGTCGCTCGTTTTCTTTCAGCATTTGGCAGGCGGCCCGGCAGGCCGGCAGTCCAGCAGTCCTCAGCAGCAGTCGAGCAGTCGAGCAGCCGAGCAGCGACGGAGCGATGGAGGCAGGCAGGCACGCAGGCACACTGGCAGGCCGGCAGGCGAGCGGGCAGGCAGACGAGAGCAAGGGCCGCTATTAGATTATGGATTAGTATGCAGTGGTGCTGCCTCTGGTCCTTTCCGAGAACTGCCTTTCCATGCTTCAGCACTTGCCCTCCATCGCCTCGTCTCCTCACCCTCCCTCCCTCTCTCTCTACGGCTTCCCTTCCCTTCCCTTCTCTTGCCTTGCCTTACCTTTCTTTTCCTTCCTCCCTTCTTCGACACACAACGCAATTCCTCTCGCTCTCGCTCCCTCTTTCTCTCTCTCTCTCTCTCTCTCTCTCTCAAATTTCTCTTTCTTACTTTGCCAGGTCAAGTTGCCACCCGCCCAGGTTCTTCATGACTGCTCTCTCTCTCTCTCACTCTCTCTCTCTATCCCCATCTTTTCTGCTCTCTCACACGCTCGCTCGCTCACACGCTGTTGTATAGCATAAGGACGACTGCAGGGCAGAAGATCAAAGCAGGGGAAGAAAAGGGGGAAAAAAATATATAGAAAGAATATGCATTGCGCCAGTCCTAAAGTCGCACATTCACTGAAGTCTACCCATCGTCTACCTTGTGGCCAAGGAAAAGAATGAGGGAGTGCAGGAGCAGATCTTGCACAGATCTTTGCAGATGCAATCCCCCTTAAGAGTAAATAAGAGAGAGAGGAGGAGAGAGAAATCGGCAAGACGGTGAATTTGAGTGGCTGCCTGGCTGCGCGAGCTCTACATACTGCACAGTATTTACATTTTTGCACCTTTCCGGTTCCGATTAAACTTTTCTGCCTTGCCCTTTGTGTCAACGAGTTCCCAGCCTCGGCCTCGGTGGCCTGGCCTGGCCTGGCCTGGGCTGCTCTGCTCTGGCCTGGCATGGCCTGGCATGGCCTGCCTGCCTGCCTGCCCAGCCCCTGCTGCTTCAGTCTGAGTCGGGTATAATTTTATAACGAATATCATCTGGATGATTGCTTGTTGTTTTCCCCTTGGTCCGCACCGTAGTAGTAGTAGTCTCTGTCAAGTCAATTTCAGTTGGCGTGTGATGCACAAGCCCGGTAAGAACTTGATTGCTACTTGCCACTTTAGGATTCTACTTTTTTAACACCTCCCTTGCGGTGCGATTCCCTTTCCGAATATTTTATAGATTTCAAACTGCTGGATGCATCAGATTGTGTGGATTATGTTGAGTCATGATAGCGGTGGGTAAAACCCAAACACATCTCCTCGCTCCAGCGCTTCCCTCTTTTCTTCCCTTGTCTCTTTGATTTTTGGTCGTCGTTCCACGAGACCACTTATTTTACAACACCCGCACCTCGACATTATTGGCTCCCAGTCACTTTCCTCGTCTCACGGACAACCTCGTGTTCCAAACAGATTATCCATGTCAACTACATATCTTATGATTGAACACTAGTTGGTGTGTCCGGTTTTAAGTCCAGCCATTTATTATTCTCGAGTCAATCCGTGGAATGCTCATGGTTTCGCAGTTTCCCCTGACTTGACTTTTCGCTCATTATAAAATTCCCTTCCGCCTCCCATGCCCCGGCGCAAATCAACCAGACCGGACCAACTCCCTCCCGTAAAGCTCCGCAACGTCATCGCCTTTGCCACCTCCATCGTTTGCGATACGCTCCGCTCAGGCCCCGAGTCCAAGCGCGTTCTCGATCCGCATGACCGTCGTCGCGAACGAGCGCCCCGCCACGAGCCCCTCCTCATGCAAGGTCTTGGTGTGCCAAATCTTTTCCTTGATCCGCCTTTTCCGCGAAAAAAAAACACCCAGCCTCGGACGCAAGGCCGCCAAAAGTCTCGACCCAATTCTGCTCGCACGTCTTTTGGCCTCCCACCCCATCCCATCCCATCCCATCACACTACACTACGCTACACGGGTGGACGCCCGACGTGACCGCCATGAATCGACGTTCGCAATTGGGGGACATCTCTCGCGCTGTGCGCAGCAAATTGGACTGTCGTCGGCCTTGTGTGGACTTTTCCCCTCCCCTCGCATCCCATCACATCAGCCTTGCTCCGCCTCCGCCCACATTTGCACTGCTCTTGTCATGCTTGACACACACACTCCCCCCCTCCCCCAGCCCCAGCCCCAGCCCCCAGCCCCCAGCCATTACCTCCTCGCAAGCCCTCCTCCGTGACGACCGTCTCCCCCTCCCCCATGAAAATCACATGTACGACGATAAAATATCTCCGTCTCCGTCGTGGCATCTGGCCCTCTAGAGAATCCGATGCGCCACCGGTTCCTCCCTCCCGAATTAGGTTAGAGCGAAAAGGACGATCTAGGCATGTCTCAGGACGAACGGAGGGGGGGCAGACGAGAGACACTAAATCGAATTAAAGAGTTGGGTCCAAATTCTGCAAAGCTTTTTTATTTATTTTCTTCCCCCGGTGGAATGTACCTCAGACTTCTCTCCTCCAAAATAGTCTCGGAGAAAACTCGGAGATTTGACACAAATGTTTATTTCAAGAAGGATGTACGAATCAAGGATTTTGGGTTTAGGAATAGCCCCAAACGCCATGAATTAAGTTTTTCGTTATAGTTTATGCTTCTCTGTCAGGTCATGCGACCACTCTTGACCTTCAGAGGGCCAATGGGGCTAGATCACCGCTAAATTGCTCTGCATCTACATTGAACATCTGACGACACTAACCCGCAAGGGTGAACGGTAATTCTCATTTTTATACCCTATAAACATGAAGATGCCAAAATGGCCCTATTAAAATAATCAAGATTCGAAGTGGAGTCCACAAAAATTAATTTCGTTCGTTTATTCTTACGAGCAAGAAGAGGCATAGCTCAAAGCGAAACTCTCCCCTGGCTGTGTGAAGGGTAATGGCAAGATAATCTAAGCACCCACTGTCAGAAAATACAATCCTCCGAACGTATGGAACGAGTGTAATCTCACCTATAGATAGCCCCAAATTGACACTTCTGACAAGTAAAGTCGATTTTGGGCACTTTGTGCCTGTACTGTGTATGCTATCCACAGTATCTTCCGACAACGCTTCGATCAATGTAATCTCGGTTAGCGGAAAATCAACTTATTTTTAATTCGATATGCTCAACAGACGAAAATGTCTGCAGATGAACTATAATGTGTATTAATAATGCATTTTCTTATCGGTAAAATTCTTTGCTCAAATATAATCAAGTTTTATAATCTTTTTTTAAATAACACATTGGATACAATTCAAATCTATACGATACGAAAGTATATGCCCGTAGTATACGATTGAAATCCTATAATCCAACAGATATCAATATTTTTTGATAGTATACAAGTTGAAACAAAATATGTTTACACATCATCAATGAAACTAAAACAAGATCATGATTGGGAGAGAAACTACTCATCAAAATCAAAATTATTGAATCTACAAGGCTGGTAAACTGAATGTGTTATTTTTTACATTGGTTTTCAATGAGACCATTATAATTACTTCTCTATTAGAACAATCACTATCAAAGAAGATCATCAAATAAATTTCATTCTGTTAACACAAATCTAAACATCATTTCATTTTGATGTTTTTTACCCAAATAGTTTATCTTAACAATTTGATCATAAACTATGAATCTACTTCAAACATGTTAAATTTCAGTACTAAAGTTAAAAACCTTCAATTCTAAATCAAGATAGTATTTATTTTGAACGATGATGAAACATCCTAAGATCAAACACTTGATGTGAATGAATTCTTTTTACACAGTTTATGTAAGTTTCTACATAAATTTAAGATCTTCATTTTAGAATAAATCATGTTAAAACTAAAAATTAAAATTTTATTTATCTTCAAAATTTTAACTCTATATGGATTATGATATATGAAAATATCCAAAGAAAATCACTTTAAGCCTGACCAAAGAAAAACTAAGATTAGAATACAAGCATAATGATTTCAATTTCAGATGTCCTTGATATGTATAACTATTATAATATCCAATGACTGATTTTGAAATTTGTATACTTGTGTCGTTTAATTTGACTTAGAATGGTTTCAATTATTTTAAATTTGATGTAGAAATCCTATCAATTAAAGGATGAAAAATAGAACCATTTGTATTACTTTAACTCCACATATTTAGCTACAATTTTCAAAAACAGTCTGGAATTTTATTTTTTAGAAATTCTTTTTCATATCAAAACAAAATCAACGCTAAAATCATGTCATAACTATGAATGTCTCATTTATGCTTTATCAACTATTCTTATTCAGTTTTTCATTATTTCAAATTTACTTCTAATTTCAAATTTGTATATAAATTATATAAATTTCAAAAAATTAATTTATTAAAAATGTATTTTTATGAAAATTAAGTACCGTGGTTTTAAATCTTTAATTTTTCATAGATAAAATTTTATTGAAATAAATTGTTAATTCTTCTGTAAATAAGTTATGCCTATAATATTGAAATAACCTTACATCCAAAACACAACTATAGAATTATATTACATAAAAGTTATATAGACAATAGATGAAAATTCTATGAAAACAACAAATCCCATCAATATTTATGTTTCACATTCATACGGTAACATGTAATCATCAAATTCAAGTATTTGGAAAAGTTGCAAGAAATTAAGAAATTCAAAAGAAGATGAATAAATTTAAACAAATAGTTGATATAGATTTTGATTATTGACTATTTTACAATTTTAAATTTAATTGAAAGAATGGTGAGATTTAAATTTAATCCAATCTTCTAGAAAAAAATTCATTTTTCAGCTTTTTCTAAATTTATAGACTAGTATCTAATTTCTGAGTAATATAAAATTTTCGATTTTTTTAAATTTTTGATAAATCATGTTAAGTTAAATGATGTATTATGAGCTAATATTTAAAAAAAAAACTGAAGCTGATGTATTTTTTTCAGAAATCTTTTCAAGCCTTAATATTTTGATGAATGTTCTAAACTAACTTTTTTTTCTCATGGAAATCTAATACTTTATATCATTATCAGTCTTCTTTTATGAAGAGATCAAAGTTGATTCAGAATTCAAGTGCTGACATTATAAAGTTATGATATCTAGAAATTTATCGAAAATTGATTAGCACTATATCCTAAATTGAATTTGAGTGTAATCAATTTGGTTAAGTAAGGTTTAATAGAACTAAAATAAGATATATTTTTTGATAAACTGATGATGTTGAAATTAGTATCGGTGGTGAGATCTAGTAAATACATTTATGTTGTTATATTTGCAAAATTATTCCTCGAGATTAATTATTAAATTTGTTCATGTAATCAATAATGACAAATTTTCTTTTTCAGGTTTCATTATTTCCAGGTATAGATGGACTATTTATATTAAATTAGACTAGTCAATTTGATGCAGAGGATGCAATCATTTGATGTCGTCTATTGAATTCAAATCGAATTTTCTTTGCATTCATGGGGCCTGAAAAAGAGAAAAGAATATCTGAGAAGCATGAGAGGTCCTCAATACTCACGCCCATGAGAAAAGCCGTATCCTTCAAGAGATAGATAGAGAGAGAGAGGGGGGGGGGGGGGGGGTCGATAAACGACCCGAAGCTCTCTACGGAGGCCCGTAAAAGGTTCACATGGACATTAAATATAATAAGGGCCGCAGGGAATAACAAGCCAAAACCGGCCAGCAGATTAAAGGTACCTCGAAATGTGTCATACGATTAAACATTAGGCAACAACAGAGATCAAGCGTCGGGAGGGGAGTGGAGAGGAGCGGAGTGGCGAGTGGTGGTGGTGTCTACCAGATTCAGTTGCACAAGGCGAACTGGGTCGATGTGGCTCGGAGATTCGGGCTCGTACCGCCGCATGATTTGTCCAACAACAGACTGGTCTGATTGATTTGCTGAGTTTCTGATTTTCTGATGGCTTGTTTCACCAAGATTATTCCTTGGCAGCAGAGGGCCTGGGAGTGCGAGATGCGATTTGGAACATAATCGGAGTCGGAGTCGGAGTCTGACTCGAAGCTTCAGATGATGGAACGATGTGCCATGAAGAAGGAGTGCAAGGATTAAGAAATCCGGCACGTACCGAGTACTGGAAATAACAAACCAAATCTGAAGGGAAACATTAAATTAATGGAGTTCGTTGAACGAACGAACATGCAGTTTGTCTCCGGCTGGGCTTTCCGAAAAGAGCAAGTACATCGCGAATGCACAAAAGCAGGCGAGCATGAATGGGAGGGGAGGAGAAACGAAGGTCGTGGGGCGGAGCGAGCGAGAGAGTGAGCGAGTGAAAGCGAAAGAGAAAGAGAGAATTCGGATTGAGGGAGAACCCTATCGACGCCATCCCATCCCATCCCCATCGAAAGCATGATTCTCCGGTTCTTGATATCCACAAAAGGCGATGGGAGGGCGTGGAATTGGGTGACGTCTTGACGTAGCCAGCGGGGAGAGGAGGAGGAGGAGGAGCAGCAGCAGCAGCAGCAGCAGGAGGTGGAGGGGGAGGCGGAGGAGTAGCAACGAATGGATACCGAGTTGTGCAAGTCTTCGCAATGCATGCTACAGATACGGATTTGAGCCCGTCGTGTCTGTCTGTCGCCCTCGCTTCCACCTTCCGGTGGTTCGCTTTTGCAATACTGTTATTCAACTTGCACCTCCTCATCTACCGTGCGGCCCTGGCCTGGCCTGCCATCCCCTGCCCTCTCCTCTAATGTATGTTCCCTTCCACGCCATACAAAGTACTGAGCCGGTACCGATCCTTTCATCCACAAACATGGACAAAAATGATTGACCGATTGATTGATTGATTGAAGGAGAGGTGGAGGTGGACGAGGAGGAGAGGAGAGGAGAGGAACGGAAGGCCTTGAAAGTTCAAAGGACAGGGGGTCAATAAGGGGCAAGGCAGGCAGGAAACGTCCCTCGTACTCTCTTCCCCTCTCCTCTTCTATGAAGGAGATGAAATGTTGCTGCTTGCGGTTTCTCCGTGTCCTTGTAGAAATACCGTGAGAAGCAGATTACGCAAAAGGGTAGATGTAGAGCAGACCACACGGATAAAAAATGGATTTAGATGGAGAGGAGGACGCTCTTGTTCAGAGAGATAGATAGAGTAGAGGAAGAGAGAGAAAGAGAGAAAGAAGATGTTGGGGGCGGGATGGTGGCCGGAGAGCGAATTTCGTACCATCTTTTTATTCTTCCATATGGAGATGATGAGAATCTTGTACACTCTGGAGGCGGGTTAGTACACTTGCGCATGTGTCCTCTTTCTAGGGCGACATTTTAACTCCCCCTTCCAGATATTTAAAAATGTACCGTAATAACATTTGCGCAATGGTCATCCGTCATGCATCGTTTTGTTTTCCCAGTTTCCTGTCCTTAGGGAATCAGCAGTGGTCCTTGTTTGGCTCGTAGTGAAGGGTGAATTCAGTCAAAGCCTTGGTCTGCATTGAATGAATGGATAAATGTATGGCCGCAGAGCTCCAAAACCTTGAACATGAATGATAGTCACGGGTTATTCCAATTATTTGGTTAGGACATTTGCTCATGCAGCAGCAATGGGTCTAAACTAGACCTAATTATCCTATGGAATACACTCCTCTGTACTCAGTTCCTAGAGCTGGGAGGCAAATCTCGGAGGATTTACTTTATTCTGCGCTCTACAAAATGATCATAACATTTGCCACAGAAATCATCATCATTATGGAGCAAGAGGTCATCAATCTATAAGAAGGCTACAAGACCTCGTTGTAATCTAAGTCCACGTCTTCTCATGCGCTCGCCTCTCTCCACTCATGCATGAAACCACATAAGGTACCGGAGATAAACACAAACAATGGGCAACCCTCTTCCCATTGTTAGGGAAGAATGTAACACAAGATATCTTCGCAGACTAAATTCAATTCTTCTCTGAACCTCAGTTGCTTTGGGACTCGTTTGTATGATGACTTCTATAGTGATTCTACTGTACAGATTGATGCACATAATTGCGCTACCTTTATAAAGTGGGGTGCTGAAGATACACCGAAAGCCAACAAAATCACTGATTACGAAAACCTGTGAAGATTCCTGCACGAGATCGGAAGGTATGAAAATCAGTTCTGCAGGAGAGCAGCTTTTGGATGGCGCTTGTCTTGATTTGGTCATGATCAGGTCCTCCAGAAAGACGAGGCATGGAGAAACATTGTTAGAAGAGGATGATGTAGGTTGGCAGTGCCGTAGACTACTCTTGTGAAAATATGTGCAAACGATGGATCTCGTGCACTGGAACCACATAATGTAATTACTATAAAACATCTTACAATATAATTGAGCTCATTATTACATAAGCATGTCATATGCCATTTGGCTCATCGAGAAATTAAAATCATAGGTAAACATAGATATGAGGGATCTTTATCTTGCACTCAATGGCTTATATTTGTTCTGTATGTTCTATTTCGTACATTTAATCACCATGCTGGTCTACCTCTATAACATGGACCCAAAGAGTATTTTAATACTTGAGATACAATTCTTTCGCGGGCAAGAAAGACGAATGCAATTATAGCGACATCCACTGGTAAAACATTGGAATGAACTAAAGCGAATTCACCTTTTCTTTTATAGAAGGTGGTACTTACAAACATCATCTTTTCAGATTCAAATAACGGCAATCAGTATACTCTACTTCAATCAATACTTTAATATCCTTCTCATCAGAAGACAAGGAATTCAAGAGTGAATTTCTTCTCCTGGTGAGAGGCACAGATATTCCCCCGCCTCCATATTCTGCTCCAACTCCATTCGCTCATGCATCCATTCATTCATTCGGTGAATGTCTTGCTCAATTCTCCTGATCATGATCAACATTATGATCTCACTTGATAGCAATTTGACCAAGAGCTATCCCACTTCCCACTTCGTTGCGCTTGTTGGCCACGAGAGAGAGAGATCCATGGTTGGTTGCGAAACACAACACATCTCAAAAGAAAGGAACATGGTTGGTTAGTTGGTTGTGATGGTGATGGAGTTTGTTGCAAGTGGACCACTTTTGCTTCCTGGCTGGGCCGGGGGCGGTAAGATGATCCTTTTGCAAAAAGATCAGGCCACCTTTTCTAACCATTCTGTTCTGTCCGTTGAAAATGACTAAACTAGTAACTTTATTCGATTTTCCATTTCTCCTCCGTCGGCCTCACTTTCCAGAGATATACGGCTGCTCACAAGAACGATTTGTTCGCTTGTCTCCTTCACTCCAGTTGGATTAAAAGGATCAAGAGAGAGAGAGAGAGAGAGAGAGAGAGAGAGAGAGAAGCCCGGAACATGCTTTCTTACTCGACACTCCTAGAAAAGTTTTATAATCTTGAGGTTGACTCAACACACCTCGAGGAGCACACCGATATGGAACCAGAAGATTTTCTTCAGATCAGAGACCAGATTGACACGAAGGTCTGGTTCGTCTTGAACAATCGGAAATCTTTGAGTCAAATGGGTTGGGAAGTAGTAAAGTGCACTGAACCGGATAAGATGTGGAAAGACAGAATATAATCATCCTTTTGCCTATCTAACACTTTCTGATGGTTGAGCTGGGCTGGGCTGGCCGGCCAGGCCTAAGTGGGTTCGGTATGGGACTGCACGCACCTACGCATTACCTGGCAGGCAGACAGTCTACCAATCAGTGCTAAAAAACTAATGGAAAAAGAACCAGCATTGTACTATTTTGTAGATGGATGTACGAGTATGGCAATTCTCATATTGACCGAATAAGAGGACGAGGAACCGAGATATAATGTTAGTATATGTCTATTATTTTCCCCTTGTTTTTTTGTTGGGGCATCGAGACGGTGTTAGAGCTGGGCTGTTCAATGCAGAAGCCGGACCTACGTGTTTTGTGTTCCATCTCATTTCGCCTTCAGAGCACGAGGAAAGGGACAAAAATCGCAAGGGCAAAAACATGTCCTCGTAGGAGAAAGGACCAAGATGAGTGGAGTGGAAACGGCAAGGCAACCGAAGGTAAGATGTCGCAAAAAAGAAGAGCTACTTTGTGGATGTGGTGAGAAAGGTGAGTTCGACCACAATACCTCCTCTCTCCTCTCTCTCACATCAAGAATTAAAAATGCAGGAGAGTCAAAACACATGGAAAAAGAAAGTCTTAAAATAAAAAGGAGAAAAGAAAAAAGAAGGAGCTGAGCTGAGCTGAGCTAGGAGAAGCTGTATGAACTTTGAAGACTATGAAGGGAGAAAGTCAAAAGCTAAAAGGTGGCGTATACTTTTTGAAGCACACTCGCTTGCAGTTTTCCAGCTATATGGCACACAATCATATGTGCTAGATGCCGGATCGCTAACATAGGTCAAAGGTTCGGTTACTGATGTTTGTGTTAGTTTTTTGGCTTTTTCCCTTCGTTGGTGGGGGGGACGAGGACATCTGTTCTTTTGGAGAAAAGACCGAATGCCTTGATGGTCATAATGCCAGCCCAGGCAGCGACGATTCGGATGGTGATGTGCACAAGTCCATTGGAAGAGTTCTCAACTCACACTGTTAGGAGATTGATGATTGTCGAGGGCCCTGATGAACACCCTAAGCCGCTTCCAAGTGCTGCAGCATTAGAAGTGACGCGGCAGTAATGCTGTGATTGGGTGCCGTCTTGATTCCCTGTCTGACGAAGAAGGTGAGTTTCTGCGTACAGCCATGGTGGAGTGCACGATTGATTGATGGATTCAGAACGAAGATGGTGTGCCATTAGCGTTGCCTCAGGCTTCATTTATTTATGATTAATATGTTCATTAACACCATCTTCCAGAAAGGAACGTCACGGATACGAAATTGAAACTTTACAAAACTGTAGCGCTCAGAGCCTCAGCGGCAGAACAGAACAGAACAGAAGAACAGAGCGCAGCAGAGAACAGCAGGAGATGGGAGTGTGCGGAAAGGACGACGGGGCGGGACTAGGTCCTTCACAGTGCACAGCCGCAGACCAGAGCTCGGCTGGGGACGCTGGGTCTGGATGGAGAGGGGACTGGGAGACTGGGATCCCGTGGAACAGTGGGAATCCGTTTGATTTTTCGCCACAGGCGTCCATCAAGTGGGAATCCTGGTCTCGTCTTGATCTGATAAATGCTCGCTCACTCACCAAAAGGTGTACAATAGCAAGGGTCCAGAATTGAACTACAAACTGACCTTTTCAAACGAAAATGCAATGATTGTTGTCTGTGGCAAAAATAAATGTTAGTGGGGTGGGTTCCTAGGACCGTCTCTACTGCTGATCTTTTATGAAAGAGAGGAGAGGCTGACAAAGAAGGCCGTATAGGCCAGGTTTCTTATGGCGGTGAAAGCCTGCCATGGGATTCACAATGTTGATATGCTTCATAACTTCGCAATAACTGCAGTACTACTATTCACTCCTCCCCTCCCAGGCCCCCACTACTGCTAGAATACTTCATCTACTTCGTCCCCATGGCGCATTAGCTAGCTACGGTACCTCGCTGGCTGGCTGCTGGCTGGCTCGCTCTAGAGGAGGTAAAGTGCGCTTGCTACTCCGTGCCTCGCTCCTACCCATTTGTAAAGGGGCAGTGTAAAGGAGAGAGAGAGAGAGAGAGAGAGGGGGGGACGGGAAAAGGGAGATCGACGTTCAATTTCACGAGAGTAGATGATGTTTGGATTGGGGAAGTTTAAGCACCATCTGAAGAATCTTCGCTGACATTGGACCTGTGTCATCTCTCACAATTGCTCAATCATGTATGTCCTGATGAGCTAGGCGTATTCTCATCTCGGGTTGTGTCCACATCTCTCTGTGTATTTATGATTATTATCGCTGTTAGTGAGCTCGAGTCCTTAAGACACTTAAGACGAATCGCTATGAATAGAACTGGAGTCGTATCTTTTTCGTCTCCGGTATCGTTCTTTCGGAAGCCAGACGACGACGAGTCCAGCACCAGACATCTTGGCATGCGATGGGATGGTGTATGGATGGAAGGAAGGAAGGCAGGAAGCAAGCGAGAAGAAGTCATGTTTCAGACAAGACAGTACGAGAAGCTCGTTATACATCTATAAGAAGGAAAATTAATATTCCTGCCATCATCCCAAGAATCATAACGTTCGCCCAAAAGACTGCACGTTCATGCAAGCGGAGGTGATTGGGAATGGCGAGGCGAGGCGAGGGGAGGGGAGGGGTCTCGCCTACCACACCACCTCCACCACCTCCATCACCACCTCGTCCTCCTCATCCTCATCCTCCTCCTCCTCCTCTTCCTCTTCCTCCACCACCGCAGCTGCAACACTAACTAACTTTCTCAACAACACCCACCTCAGCAGCAGCAGGGCATCTCTCTCCGCCCTTCGCTCAAGGCAGGTACGAACAAGAACCCTCTTTTCTCTCTCTCTCTCTCTCTCTCTCTCTCTCTCTTTCTAAACTCTTTTTCTATCTCTCATCTCGCTCCTCGTCCTCTATCATTTCAAGGTAATGAGGACACCGAACACTTTCATCCATCTCGCTGCCCCTCTGAAGAATACAACTACGACTATGACTTCGCTAGTTCTACCAGAACGACGATCGCCATTTCTGCTTAGCATGCACTCCTCTCCTCTCGGCCAAGTCAGCGAGAAGAGAAGACATGAAATGCTATTCCGACCTGAACGATCTAATAGGATGTCATTATTATCATAGCCCGGACCGTAAGCAGCAGGAGCAGAATCTCGCTCGCACTCGTCACATGTATTAGGTGTTGGTTAGATTTGTACTTGACTAGTGCAGCATCAGTGGTAGTAGTAGTGGTAGTGGTAGTAGTAGTGTGGTAGTAGTGTAGTGTAGGGAGAACGAGTAGTCAACCCCTAAACAGGAAGATCAGCAAGCCCATCATTCTTTCTAATCTATTTGCTCCCGCCGAACAGAACACCTCTTGTGTCATATCATATCCTGGCGTGGTCGAAACACGAGAGGGAGACGGACATACGGATGACAGACAGACAGACAAAGATTGTACCTGACTCACCTCTCCGGCCCCTCCTTCCTTCCTTCTTCCGTCTCTCGCTCGCTCGCGCGCGCTCGTACGTCGTAAGGACACCTTACGATACGCAGTACAGTACAGCGCCACGCCAACGGGATCGATCGAGAAGGCGAATGGAAAGGAGTGGAGCGAGAGCGGCTTCTTGGAACCGAAATCACGAGGGGCGAGAGCGGACAAAAGGCCGACGAGAAAGCATTCGAAGTGCCTCGTGGAAAAATCCATTCGCGAGCGGATCGATCGAACCACATGGTCGACCACCTGCCGGCGCACAGTCCCAGAGCCCCCCTCTCTCGCTTTTGTGCTTCCTCGCTAGCCTTTCTTCACGCCATTCACATATTCCCAAAAACTTACCGAGGCCGCAGCCGCAGACAGATAAGAGCCGAGGGGGCTCCTGGTGCCACCCCCCTCCCCCCCTCCGCCCGAACACGAAGAACCAAGAGGAGGGGCAGCGAGAAAGCAGGGGCTACAAAAGCAAAGAAACGCAAAGCGGGACAGGGGCAGGGGCAGGGACAGAGCAGCGGAAAGCGGAGGCCCGAGAGGGGACAAGCGAAGCCGCGGCTGGCCAGAGCCCCCCCCTCCCCCCCTAACCCGCTGCGTTGCGTCAAGGCCACGTGGATTTGGCAGACCCTCACCGCGGCATCCCATCTCTCGTACGGTTCCACGCAGACATCCCCCTCTTTGCTTCTCGCTCCCCGCCACGTCGGCTCCGGTCACCCGAGACCGGGAACCCGGCGCGGAGGGTACATACAGGAACCCCCGGATGAGGCAAGCAAGCCTAGCCCTGGCCTGGACGGGCCGGGCCAGGCCGGGCTTGGCTTGGGGCTAGTAGGCCTGGGGGCCAGCGGCAGCCCCAGCCCCAGCCCCAGCGTGCGGAAGGGCTGCATCCGATCCATCCTACTGTAAAGGTACCGGGGATTTGTCACCGTATGTTTTATGACGAGAATCTTACTTAAGGGGGGGAGGCTAATCAGCGGCAGCGAGGACGGGCGAGCGCGTGGCGCGGGGTGTCTGCGCAGGCTGTCTGTAGTGCTCGAGGCAGACCCCACACAGGGGCTGGGGCTGGGGTTGGGGCTGCAGCCTCCGCTTGCCGTGCCCGGCCCGTGGCTGGCCGGCGCGATGGCGAGCCGGGCAAGCGAGCGGGGGAGGCAGAGACCGCAGGCGCGGCTATTTTTAGGGACGGGGAAAGGGGCTGGAGTCTCGTGGTCGTTTGGACGGCCGATTTGAAGACAAGCCCCGCTTCGGGAAAAAGCACGAACGTGGCCGATCATCACCAGTGGATGAGTTCGTATATGTGCCAGGTTCCATCATACGTGTGATCGACACCCTCTCGCGTCGGAAATATTCAATGTTTTTTCCAATTTCGGCCTCTCTTCAGATATATCGGATCATTGCAACTTTAAGTTGCTAGATAGCCCGAATCCAGCAAGTGTGATCGAGGCGAGGAGAGAGAGAGAGAGAGAGGCGGGGGGAAAGCGCGAAGGCAGGCAAAGAGAGAGAAACCGTCTCATCGCTTCGGAGCCTTGCAGATGGAGACGAGCCTACGCAAACTCCTCGCGAGCGAGAGCGCTGCAGTAGGGGGAGGTGGGTTCCAACCTGTTGCATGCTCGGCGAAGTCCTTGCGCTGTTCTTCTTTGTGATAAGGTAATAATGCAGTCGACGGAGAGAGCAGAGCAGAGATTCACCTTTTTCACATTTGTATTTTTGCTGCCCTGATCAATTGCTGCTCCCTCTCCCTCTCTCTCCCTCTCTCTCTCTCTCTCGCTCGCTCTCCCCCTATCTCGCCCGGCTCGACCCCGAGCCCCCGACCTCGAACCCGACCCCGACCCGAGAGTTTCGTAGATTGATGACCCCGTCCCCTGATTTCACTTTCTATTTTTAAGAATCAAAACCATGATGTACTTTCTCATTCCAATCAATCAAATCATCAATATATGATATTTCATCCCCAGCTCTGAGTTCCTATGGGTTGACAATGCACTCTACTCATGCCTCTACGGATCGGAAGGGTGAGGGGAGGGGACGAAGAACACATACAATCTCTACTACTACTACTACTACGACTACTGCTATTACGCCATCGGAAGAAGCGGGTATGGGGTGAGAAGAGGAGGAGAGAGCCGTGGAGGGAAGGGGGGGGGGGGGGGGGGGGGGGGGGAGGAGGCAGGCAGGCAGGCAGCAGTTCTGCAGGGGGGGCAGCCAATAGTTGGAGCATCATCATCATCATGCACCCCATTAGATGACAAGGAACTTAAAAAGACTTTTATACTTATCGAAGAAGTGCCAAATTTCACTTCTGTTCCCTTCTGTTCCTTTTGGCTGCACTTCAACTGCTCATGATCTCGAGTGCTTTTGGAATCTCCTCCTATTTCCATCACCAAAAGTAAATTAGAGTAATCTCCACTTTCCATCGGAACAGAATCAGATCCCCGAGCGAAGACAGAACCAGACATTTGGTTCCAGGACACACTATATTAAGCCCCTCCTCGGATTAGGTTAGCTCCTCACTGTGTATTAGATAGATAGATAGAGATGGAGGCCTGGATGGATGGATTCATAGACAGCTAATAGGCGAGCATGAGAGACAAGCTCGATCGGCGACGAAACGGATGAGAATGTGAGAGAGAGTGAGAGAGCGAGAGAGAGAGAGGAAGAGAGAGGGATCAAAGGGCAACGTGACGGTTGGTATAAAAGGAAAAAGGCAGGCGTGTGTACACTCAAAGCGACCGATGTTAAGGCGACTCGGATGTATGTATGCACAGCACTGCACTGCACTGCTTGGCCTCGCTCGCTCGCTCGCTTGCTCCCATCGGGTCCGGTTCGAGCCGCACTAGATTCCAAGCTCATAATTGAACCTCGTCCTCGCTCCTTCAAAGTGCCAATGCTCGCTCGCTTTCACTGTGCATGTCTTTCTATCTTTACGTCACCGATTCCATGTCGTCCAGTTTAGCTTCGGATCTAATCCGAAAGTTTAGTTGTAGGTTGACTCTGTCCGGCCTCGCCTTCTTCGTCCCGTGCCCTCGCTGCGCAACGCAATGCGGTTCGGTTTTAACTTCTAGTCTCCTGCGCATTATTATGTCGTAACAGTTCGAAGCTTACATAATTTTTCTCGTTTAGTGTTCTTCTTTATGATTCCGTTGGTCGCCTCACGCCTTCATCGAACCTTTCGCACTTAATCCGCGTCCAAATTTGGAGTCGGGGCACATTTAATCCCAATAATCGCTGCTCGCTCGGCCCCTGCCTCAACAGACCGGATCCATCTCGAATCAATACGTCCATCTCCTTTATTATATCGCAAGGTCTTGTTATCTGGGCTTTACTCTGTCCAAATGCCAAGTCCAAATTTGGTGCGTTCGGATTTATGCTCGCGGCTCCATGTCGTAACGGATCCACACTCGTACCGAAATCGGACCGCCTCGTTCGCGTTCGGACCCTTTCTTTGCGATGGAGAGGGCCCCTTCCTTGTCCTCACAGCGTCAGACCGATTCACTGTTTCGAGCTCCGCCTGTTTCTGCCATAGCTCTCGCCATGCCCCGAGATTTAACATATACAATTACGTCAATATGCGGCTAGCTTCCAAGCTTTGAGGCGTGTACCAGACTATACGCTCCTCCATGAAATTAATTCTGACATCTCGTCGAAACTTAACTTATGCTTGTTTGGTTAACTAACAACAATCCTGACAATATCTAGTTATGGGCTACTTACCGAGCTCGCATCGACTTCGTATGTCATGGCATTGGCATGCCAGTGTTTGTTATTCCCTTTTGGGTGCGAGAGAGATAGAGAGAGAGACGGGCCCCCTTGACGTCTGTCTACAAGTCAATACTGTACTCCTGTAATCCTGTTACCGGTATACTTGATGTAATGTACCGGTACCCGATGCATCGCTGCTTCATAAGCGCTTCATCATTACCGACGCAACTTTGTCCAGCCCCGCAGAGCCCAGGGTTCTGCACAAATTACGGTCACCTGCTGCTGCTGCTGCTGTGAATCCCACGGGTCCTGATTTTGGCTCCGTTCCTGACCTTGTTTCCGTTTCTTCTCCTTCACTTTACACCCGGACTCGATGTTTTTTTACTTCTCGGCTCGTTCTGAAACATATGTGCTGGATTAATTCCAACACATGTGATTGAAGGCTGCCCTATGCTAGATTTGAGATCTCTGACGAGTCATTCTTCCCGTATTCGTCCCCAATCATGCTACGAAACACGAGTGCGCAAGGAGGTTGTGTCCTCGGATCTGCCAAGGCACACGTCGTACTTCACCATAAGCCTGATAAGAGTTTTGGGGCGAGCGATGGGAATCCCTTGGTGCAAACTGGATCGAACAAACTTCAGAGTCGCTCACTCGTTCTGAGCGTGATACAAGACAGGTGTGTAATATATATGTGCACTTCGCATTCACTTACAGCGTTAGATAATGCTGCCATCAGGAACGGACGTCCTGTTACTGCGTTTGAATATTTTTTAGCAAAGTTCACACGTGACAATATACTACAAGCACCGAGTCATCAATGGCTCGACAGATATTTTGCGCTGTTTTGAATCCATGTGCACATGATGTCGACTCTAAACATCGACAGCGCTGTCGACGACACTGCGGGAACTGGCCGACCTTTACTGCTACGACCAGTCGACAATAACTCCTTCCTACAGAGCCTTTCATCTGAAGTCTGATCGCCCGGCAAATGAAAGATTCTCGACACCTTCCGTGCACTTCTTTCCAGTGTGAAGTGGTGGTGCTGCTGCAAGGTGTTGATTCTGACCATGCCGAAATTGAGGAAGCTTTGGCCTACATCAAACCAGAACGACGAAGAACTTTTCTCTTTCGATAACCATAATCTAACATCTCCCCCAAGCGGCACCGTGCACCGAAGAAGGGGAACAAAAATCTTTGGAACGGTGGGATAATTTTGCATTGAATCGACGATGCTTCTATGCACGAACCCCAACGCCCACTAACCCACAAATGTAAGGAGAAGCAAGGGAACAGGCTTGGATATTTATAATTGATACTATGATTACATTTGCTACTGGGATGGCAATCTGAATCCATGCGAGCCTGATATGTCTATGGTGGACGGCTTCTGCTCTCTCTATCACTGCCTCCAGGTCTCTCCAAGTAAAGCGACTTCAAGAGGCCGATACCTGTGACAGCCACAGTACTGTGTCATGCTCGTTAAGAAATAAATATATCAACGATTTTCAATGATTTTACTATGTGAGGGAAGCACCGAGGCTGTGGATGGCCATCGGCACCGCGTCATGCTCGTTAGGACAGCCTACACCAACTTCAATTGACTTTACTGTATCAACGACCCAGTACCAAAAAATTGCTGTACATCTTCTACTAATCTGCGAGGGAGAAAGTCTCAAGACGACGGCCTGCGATCAATGATCGATGGGCTCATGCACAGACACTTGCGTCAAGCGACGGGGGCCCAACCTGCCTCTGCTAGTGGCCCCTTCTACTGGATCTCTATCCTCCAGTTCCTGCAACCACTCGCCACCACAACGGCGTAAGCTCCACGGTTTAGTTCGCACCAACTAGAGCAATGTAGGCCTTTGTGATAGTTGATCGTCTCACATCTTCGGAAGGACGACCTCTTAGCGTGACTATCTACAAACACAACCTTCTGAAGCCCCGTCTACAATAACCGCAGAACGTTTTCGAGACCGACCATCTTGCACTCGTACTAAGCCTCACGACAGACAGACAGCTCGGCCATTGTGACCTGCATATGAACGTAATTCCAAAGTCTCTATCCAGAGGTTCATCAGTACTTACATCAGATATAAGGTCTTTTCGTGTAATTACACCGACTACGCTGGATGGCCGAGGAACGACACATACATGTCGCAGTCCCAGCTGTCGGAAGAGATTGTACACCTGCAAAATGTCAAAGGAGCATTCAGGGCTTTGACTCGCAAAACAAAAATCTCTTCCCCACAATGCTCCATGCAATCCTCTTGTCGTTCAGCAGATAAAGCACCCACAAATAAGACATGAGACGCAGAAGCTTCACGTTTCTTATATACAAGACGGATTAATTATACGCTACTCGCTATTCTTCACGGATGGTGCCAAGCCTAAAGTGGGTAATAAGGAAGATACTTCATCAGATTCATTACCTTGGACAGTGACATATCTTCAGACACCATGTACGGAGTAGGGTTGACGAACGGCTCTAGATCCACGTACATTCCCATTTCTTCAGTAGTAAGGTTTATGTCATGAACAGATATGCCTTTGCTTGATACAGGTTTCGCGAATTCTCGCACGTCGTATCTGCAACCAAACGCCAACATGTTGTTTCAGACTTACGAAAGGGACAACCATGGTGCAGGGAAAGCGGAAATCGGCAACTTTCGAGTTAAGACAGTTTAGTAAACAATTGGATTCTTCTGTCCTCGCATGACGACGTTCTACCTGTATGCATGTGGACCACCCGCGAGTGCACTGTGCTGAAAGTCTGCTTTGTGTTGCAGGAGTACCAACAGATGACTGTCCTTCACAAAATCAACGGACAAAACATGATCAACACTCGCTCAACGTTTGATAGCAAGGACATATAAGCAAGGCTTTCATCCAACGGGCAAGATTATTAGCTTGCCCAGTTCACATAGATTGAAATTGCAACTGCAGCGACAGACGTACCTTCTGAGAATGAGACCAATCACAACACTTTCACCACTCTGAAGATGATCGATAACCTGATGAACAACACTACGTACTTAGTCTCCAACATGACAAAAACAAGGAATATCGGAACGTCAAACACGTCAACGTTTTGATAACTAATAACCATAACACCGATTACAAAACGCAAGTAGAGATTCTAGGATTTACAAATGTTTTGCAACCAGTGCCTGAGAAACCTTACAGGGAAGCCATTATGATTGTTGCTGCGTAGAGTCGAAACGATCTCACCAACTTGAGCTATCCTTGGAAATTGTACAACCTGTCCCGTACCAGTATAAATATGCAATGTTGACGGTCAACACCGTCAAAAAATGTATCCAATATTCGTTTGCCCATTGACGGACTACAAAAAGCATTAAAATAAGATAACTATAGTACATCACGTTGCTTCCTGTTCAACACTTACCTTATTAGAACTTGACGCATCTCTAGCAGTTCTGTTTCGCATGTAGCGCTTAGGTCTTGATTCGAGAATTGGAATCTGTCTTAAGATGGCATGAGACTCATAGAACCCGGAATTGAATGCATCCCCCACAGCCTGCAAAGTAAGTCAACCATTTAATATTATCATCAGGCTCGACAATACTGTTGACTTCGTATTGAATGAGACAAGCACTTTCCACTAATCCTTGTGCCCATCTCAACGATATGACACACATGGATGTCAATGCACACAAATTACTTGCTGGTACGTTCCGATATACTACGAACAAAAATCAGGTATAAATTCAACATAATTTGTGACTCCAATCACTTCACATGGGAAATAATTGTACCTTCGAAGTAAGGAGAACAAGCATGATCAGAGGCAGAAGTTTGAGATTGTTCGTTATCTCAACCATGATAACGCAGAGAGAAACGGTCATGCGCATGGAACCTCCCAAGAATGAAGCGGCACCTAACAGAGCATAACTGCGAAAGCAGGGAACGAAGTATTACATTGTTGCATATTGTATGTACACTAAGCGATCAGTTCTACAGATTGACATTACAGCACATCAATCTGAAATTGAAACTTCAAGCTGATGGTATAAACAAGATTCTATCCTGGACAATTTGTGGAGGATCAGTTTGAGATAAGCATATCACGCAAGTCAAAGGGCGAACATCCTCGCGCAATGGTTTAATACTTACGTGCCCTCGTCAATGTTGTCTTTCTGGGACAGGTTGACTATGAGCATGCCAACAAGGCGACCATAGGTAGCTCCGATCATTATACCGGGTACAAACTGGCCCGCGGGTACAGCTGTACCATATGTGATCACTGCCAGTGAGTAGAACATTGACTGCAGTTTCCAGCAAACGAAGTAAGGCAAAATCTTGCATCAATCTAGAGGGTATTATTCTGGCAAAAGAGTTTGGAAAGATGGTGGCAAGATGCTTTCTTTAGATTCTATAGCTCGCAGGTTCTTACAAGGAACATGATTAAACTTGTAGCACTGTATTCGTGCTGAGTTCGGGTGCTGAAAAGATTTCTTATTGCATCATCCTGTTCACAAAAAGCAAGGACGAGGGCTGATGATCAGTAACAGAGATGATGTGACTACTTGGAAGATGAAAGTTAAGAACTTGACGGTTATGTCGAAATCTAATACGCCTTTTTCTCATTCTGACTGATAACGTAGTACGGGTACCTGGTCCGTTTCTCGTAATACCTCTTAAGTCACCTCACGATAGAAGGAAGAAAAGGGGTTTACATTATGAGCTTTGATACCCAGTCTAGTTTGGGCAACTATCTCCAAAAAATGGGTCAAACTATTAGAATCGGCGGGCTCTAATAGTTTGACCCATTTTTTGAAAATTGAAAATTGAAAATTCTCCTTCGATTGATACAGTCGAAAAAGTTATGTTAAGGTATCGAATAAAACCAGATCTGGCCACTTTAAGACGAGTCGACACAGGACATAAAGCGTTCAGTGACTAAACGGTGCCCTGAGACTACACAAATGCCTTTCTGTATTCAAGGCCTTCAACGCTACATGCATCTGACAGAGTGAATTGAGAGGTAGAGAGACGAGGCGTGCAAACATTACCTGTGTGTTGAAAAATATTGTAGCAAGATCATTGTACTCGTTGTCCGCGGAGCAGTGGAACTACAACCGACAGTCAAGACATGTAAGACTTCGGTCAAATGTAGGCTACCCAGCTTCAAAAAGGACAACGTACATTGTCGGCAAGGCCATAAAATGAAAGGGTCCAGTACGTCGAAAGAATTACAAAGAAGAATTAATCGGTCGGTAGCAGCAGATAAGACTCAGGAAGCAGCAGGTGGTCCACCTGATACATACATTTACATGATTCCCGTAGTGTTTCGATGGTCGAGGACATACGATGTCAGGATACTTCTCAGGATCAGGACAAGGTGTACACTTGGTTAACAATGGCAGACCAAAAGACAGCACCGAAGTCAACAGAGAAACCAACACAGCTTCCACGATCTGCAGGGTAGAAATTCAAAAACCAATTACTTATTGTTCACGGACTGCTCACGACTTGTCACACATGAGGCATTAATAACAGACAATTCTCCTTATAAATGGTAAATGGTAATAGATCAAGCCCGAGGGACCCAGAGGGTCAAAAAGCTGAAAAACACAAAGAAGAAAGAAGAAAAAGACGAATCTCACCAAAATCATGCCCTCTCATATTAACGGACACACGATATGGGGAAATAAAGAAACTGAGAGCGCAACGAACGCACCTTTGTTTTAGCACCTCTCTTATGAAGTACATTCCTCCGCCATTTTGATAGAATGAGAGTCAGCTGGTTGAACAAAGCACCTGCGAAGAATGAAAGCAACTTGTTCCACATTAAAGACATCTTTCAAATTGGACAAAAACATTTTGAGTATGTTTCAAAACTGTCCAGTTACGGAGTCCGCCCACATTGGCGTTCATAACATCAAGAAGCGACATTTTTACACGTGCGCTAATGCGCATATACATGTCAAAGCACACAGTTAGCATAGCCTTCTCTCTGGAGTTCAAGTTGTGCTTCATGTGTTTTCAATATTACTTCCTTCGATAAAAGAACCTCAAGGATTGCTTTGTTTTGACCGAATGAAATTTTCATCCAGATTTAGAATCATCACACAAAATCGATATGTGGAAAATAATTGTGACGTCTACATGGTTTTCTTCTCTTTCTGTGCAGTAACTTTCTAATCTGAAATCTAAACAAATCTCAATATACTGAAGCGTACCCGAAGTTCCTATTAATCCGCATAAGAGACATAGAGACATAATGAGCCTTCCCTCCACTTACCAAGTAAACCTCCGACGACACCAAGCATAGCCATTGGTACTAGCTCGTAAAAGGAGTAATCTTCCTGGCCCCTGCAAGAAACCGAATTGACGAAGGAAATAGGTTGATAAATGTATCAATAAAACTCTTTGGATCAGGCTTACAATACGGCCAAGAAAGCTTTAAACGGAGAAACGAAGTCGTGGCTTTACCCTGAGATGTCCCAGATGATGAATCCACCTGAACCAAAGTGACCACAATTTCCATGTGTACACCAACCCATGGCAGAACGTACCACAACTGCCACAACAGCAGAAGTAAAAAATACTCGCCACAAAAGCTGACTTCTCCACCTACGCAAATGCCATGCTCAAAGGTAAGACCAAAAAGAAAAAAAATGTTATGTAGAACGAACGTCCTACATCTCCGGTCTCAACTAAATTAATTTTCGTATTTGACACAATTCCTTTGGTTATGTTTGTTTTATATTACTTTCTATTTTGGAAATCCATTGGCTTGTAAGCAACTTATAAAATGAGATGGTTCTAGTTTCGCCTAGACAGCTACTTGTTTCGTCACAACAACAGGTTCCACGACTGCGTTAACATATATCACAACTACGTGGAGTATTTTACTTTTTTTTTAAAAGCGTAAGTAACCGCAGGGCTTGACACGCAAGGAGCCCTCCCGTGGTACACAACAAGAAGGACGCGTGTGGCTTACAGAAACATTATAGCAAGGTTCCATAAATCAGAACTTTTTAGTTTCAAGATACAAGCTGGTAAAATGGTATCAGCTATGACGATAGTTGGCCACGGACTGCCTACCAGGAAGTTACTTCTTCCAGCGCAAATAAGACTCCACCGACAGGGGCCCTGAAAGCGGCCGATACACCAGCTGCACATCCACATGTGACCTACGACCGAGTGGAAAAATACGTCAGAAACCAGCTGTCATCTTCCAATTTTCCGTATACCTCCTAGTTTATTTAACGTGTTCATCATTTCGACATCGGATTCCAGGTATGGACCGAATGAATTCTGATCACACGATTAGATGCGAAATATGTCAGCTACTTCGATGCATTCATAGACGATGACAAATTAATCATATCAAAAAGTAAATAAACATATCTTACAAGATCACGACGATCCCGATCATTTTTGAAGACTGAAAGCCAACTCCAGTTTACATAATACTTGGTAGTGCCACCCTGAAGTCAAGCAGAAGATGGTGAAAAGTGATTACACAATAGGCCCTTCCTCAGGTGGCAAAGTTGGCAATTTCTGCTTCATTCAGGTTCCCCAATATCTAGGTTCACAACCTCCTGCTGTCAAGTATCAATTTTGATTGAGCACAAAACCCAACCTGCACCAGAGGGATCCATTTGCAGCAATCAAAACCAACCGGTGCTTACTTTTCATATGTCCATGTGGTCATTCGCTAAGTACGCACATTTCAGTGGAAGATCCAAATGATCCTCACAAAAGTCAGGTGTTCTCTTCAACTGGGCGATCATGCACAGGCAGTATATTTGAACTTTCCGCTCAACGAGATTTATTTTTTGATTTTCTACGTTGATTGCTCTTGTTTCTTTGACATGCTCAAAATTGTACTTCAGTACAGAGCTTGGTTAAGGTAAAACCTTTGCCATCTTGCAAACAAGCAATAAAGGGCAACGAAAGAAAGTTCTCCCATGTCATATGACGGCGCTAAGCGCCAACATACTGATCACTCTAGATCTAGGATCTTGCCGCATCTTCTACGATCGTCTTTATCATTAGGTGTTCCATGAATGGAAAGTGCAAGACTATGTTGTCAGGCGCAATGTATGCAATGCTAACTACGTCATTACTGTTAAATAAGAGTAATTTTCAACACGACAACCTCAATAATAACTATATAACCACAAGGTTACAATAACGGAAGAATATCCAACGGAACGATGCTGAACACAAAGTGGATGTTATAAAACAGACATTACACGAAGATAACTCATAACGTCCCACACCCACTTGGGGTAACAGAGCGAACTATAAGTGGTAATTAAATGCTTAATAAATTGTGACTTTATAAATGGTCGCCAAAGCCCGCGAAATCAATGCACACGATCAACCAACAGTAATAGCTAGCGACCACAACGCAGTGCATGCACAACTCCGATAATGACGTAAAGAAGACCCCAAGAAACCCGTAAAAAGCAACAATTTGTGGACTTACATACAGAAACAGTTCAGACCCTCAATGCACGAATGACTTTGCACTGCATACTTCATCCTTGCTGTAACTGTCCCGTAACAGTTACAGCCAGGATAAACTGCTCTACACGAACACGACGATTTCATCAGGGCCTACCATGATGTCAAAGTAGCTGGGACAAAAGCCAGTACAGCACCTTGATGGCGAGTTTATACATTATTCCATTACTCCATTGAAGACACAATCAACAACCTCTTGGATATTTTAGAAAGGTAACATTGGTGATTCATGTATTAAGGATGTAGAATTGGAATTGGAAAGAATTGGACAATGCGAAATATTGCTCAACACATTCAGCAGATAACAGCTTAGGTGCAGCAACCTAAACAACGTAAGTGGGACGAACCTGGCCGAGTATTGAAGCAATGCAAGCACCAGTATGCACAAGAGGCCCTTCTTTTCCAAGAGCTAGACCACCTCCAACCGATCCAATGCTGCCTAGAATCTGGCACATCATTTGATATTCTCGTTCAGATATAAAGATTTTAGAAATGATGTGACAATCAGGCAACGACTATGTAACAACAGATGTATTATCTCAGTGCACCCAAAAAGTGTATGTAAAAGGTCACATGACATCTGACAAACACTTGAAAGTGAAAGGTTTAATTCCGACCGAGTCACGCCATTACATACCTTTCCAACTAGGGTTCGAAAAAGAAGAATACCGGGAGTATCGATACCTGCCCACAGGGTATAACAGGTACATTCATAAGAAGAAGAACATATTGGATAATATTGTACACACGCGGCCATATAATGAAAATATATTGCTTACGACACATAAGTATTCACCTAAAGGAGCTCTAGATATTGCAATGTAGCAGGCGAATTTGCAGTTCCAGCGACAACAATTGTGTCTTCTTCTGGACAGAGAGTATGCTTATATTTCAACTATATTCAAGATGAAATATCTAAACTCAAATACATCGTTTCTTCGACGGAAAGGATCTACTAATGTGGTGGGAATAATAAGAAAAAATACATGCCGATCAGTTTTCGCAAACTCTCGTGAAGTTCACGTGACCCAGTCGCGGTTTTACATTACAGTTTTTGCTAATCTGGGACTATGTAGAGACAATAAGATTTCACCTTACATATACATAAGAACAAAAACTTTACCATTTAAGTAGCCCTTGATTTCTGGAATGCCGGAACCGGCTGCTGCTGGGGCAAACTGAGTAACAATGTAGACTGAGGAGAAGACCAGGGCCGCATTGAAAAGTGCATAAATGAGAAATGCTAAAAAGTATGAGTGCTTCATAATTATAAAGGTGGCTTCAAATTTCCATCCTGCAAAATTTTCTACAGCAATATTGATGAAGAAAGCAGAGAACCCTGTGCCTGCAAGGAAGAGAAATTTCAGAGTTAAAGACCTCTAAGAACCAGAGATATAACAAATTATCTGATGGGGCTCTTCGTATACATCGCAGATTTTCGTCCTCATACGAAAATAGCAAATGAAAAGACATCCAGTACACGGTACATCCAGTAAAAGATGGATAGACTTGACCGGTTCCTACGACTGAACAAACTATCCGAGTGATCAGAGAGACAAGGTGAACATTGACAAAGGATTTTTGTTGTTTCTTAACACAGCCAAACAGCTCAAACATGGATGTTGTGCTCGCTCTTCGGTGACACACTGACAACCTGATACTCAAAACTGCCTTTTGGTAAGGAGGAATTTATGTAGATCTGTTGTTGATGTTGGTAAACAGCTCATTTTCAAAAGGACGTCAAGGAGGTGATTTGTACCAATAACGAAGTGTTCTTGCAAAAGGATCGGATTTTGACGCTGATCTCTATCAAGTAATGTATGCCATTTTTTGGAGAGGAGCTAAAAGAAATGTTTCCAGATTTCGGTTCAAAATTTTAAACATGGCAGTCACTCAAGGTAAGGGTTACAGTATGCTTAGGTAAAATACATCATGGCACAAGATAGCAGTTGCAAAGGCATTCTCTGATCAGTTTCTGATCGGGAATTTACTGGAAAATGAAATTTACGGTCTACAGCGCGACGATGTGTAGAGAGTGAGAATGTTTAACAGCTCCTTTTCAAAAATTGTAAGTATGAGTGATAAGTCTGTGCACTTACCGACCCCAATTAGTAGTGCATATATCCATTTCAAAGTAATGTATGATTGGTAATGCCACCTGCCCCTCTTTGCCTGCATGCGTAGCAATGTAAAACATTCCGTCAGAGGCTCCTTCGAAACTCCAGAGAGAATGCAACTGTGGAGAAGGATGGCCATCTTGTGACATTTCTCCCCGAGCTGGAATGAGCTCGAATACAGCGGCATGCCCTCAGCATATAGCTGCCCAAATCAGGAATAGCTAAGGGCCGCAGCATGAACTGGCACACAGATTTAAAAGAACGAATTTCGTTCATTCCTCGGCTGGTCGTTAATCTACACGCACATGTCATACCTGATCCTCCCGGTACGCAGCACTCTCCACAACTTCATAGTCTAAGCTTTCAGGGCCCGAAGCGCTCTCCGACTCGCCCCGGTCGGAATCCCCATCCTGCGCATGATTTTCCCACTGGGAGGGAGGCGATCCAGGAACGGCAGAGTCGTTATTCACCAAGCGCGACCACATAGGTTGCGCTCCGTTACGTACACCCTGCAGTCCTCGCGATACTCTCGACAGCGCCGAGCCAATGAAAAAATTGCCCCCACCCCGCGCCCCTCCTCCACCTCCACCTCCACCTCCTGCTCCTCCTACCATTCCCGGGAACAGATTTACTCCTGCTGCCCCCGACACCTCCCCTTCCTCCATGACATAAATCAGGCTCTACATTTATCAATCCCTCCTCCGATCAAATCTACCCTAAGGCCCTCTCTCTCTCGCCCTCCCTCTCTTCGTCCCTTCCTCGGTCTTCTTCTTCTTCTTCTTCCACCAAGTCCTCGGATCGACAACCTCGGCCCTCCTTTCCTCTCGAGCTCGAAGGAGAACCTGTCGACGAAAAGGCGAGCGAGAGCGGAGCGCTCCTCTTGTCCTCTTGTCCTCGCTCCCTCCCCTCTTTCCTTCCCTCCTCCTCCTCCTCGCCTGTCCCTCACCTCGCTGCAAAAAGCACACCACGCAGACGAAGAAACGACACGCTCCGCTCGCTGGCTCGCCTTGTGCTCTGCACTGCACTCGCTCGCTCACTGCACGATCGATTCCATTCCATTCCCTCCCTTTCCTTCCGTCGCAACCTTCACTCATTCGCGACCCATGCACAGTCAGAGCGCCTCACGTCAGCCTGCCACTTTGTACCAGCGGCCGCAGATTCTCCTTCCCCGCACAGCGCACCGTCGTCCGCCAATGATTCACTCACTGACTTCAGCACGTACTCTCTCTCTCTCTCTTCCTCGTAGTACCTCCTCGATCTCCACTGGTCCTCCCACCCCGTCGCCAAATCTGGACGATGGCGCCTCCCCTTTTGTTTCTCCATGCGCGCATTTCTCCTTCTCCTTCTTCTTCCTCTCCTCGTCCTCCTTTTCCCGCACGCACGAGCGTCAATTATGACATCACCGACAATATATAAATTTGGCCATTTTCTCTTCTGCTCATTGGCCTGAAATGTAGCACTTCTCGGTCCGTTTTAGCCTTTTTTTTTACCGCGGCGATATGTGTTTAGTTGACCTTGTTACAGAGTAGTGGGCTTCTGTAGTGGGCTCGTTTACCTTTTTGGCCCGAAGATGCGACGTCAACTATTTGCCTTGGCCTGTTCTATTCTGTTCTATGTAACTGTGGTAACATTTGTCATGCCAAATGAGTCACATGTACAACTCCTTGAAAGTGGGAGATAGTTTATTGATTAGGATCTAGTAACTTATGATGGCATGTGAATGTACTCACAATCAACTGGTACTTGCTTCAAATGATCAGGTCACTATTGTAGAAAAGTTTTTGTCATCTTATGCATACCATAATTTTCCATAGATTGATTATCATTATATTTTTTCTTAAAGTTGAGTATATTGACAAATACCAATGTTTGTCAAGTATGACAATTTATCATTTTGACCTTGGAGTTATATGGATAAGCAAACTCAAACTTGGAATGGGTAGCAATTAAAAAAGCTCAAAAAAACTTTTTTGATGCAATAATTTTTAATCTTTTAAATTTTAATAAAAAATATTTTGTTATTCAACTTATATGTCTAATAAATTTCTTGATTCTTATGTTTTATTTGATTAAACTCTTTTCCTAGAAAAAATTTCTCATTGTGAGATTATTGGAATCTATCTTTATTATTATTATATATGTCATATCCAACTAGATGAATTCATGTAGAAAAATGAAATCAATATAAATATATGCAAAATATAAAGTCGACATTAGAGATACAAAATTCATCTTTTTGAAAACTCATCATAAGTTGTACGAAATAACCTCAAATCTCTATGTGTTGGAGAAAGATTACAATAATATTATTCCAAATAATAATATTGTAAATATATAATAAATCCAAAGTAAAGTTGACAGATATGTCAACTTTACTTCGGTCAATTATATTCAATCTAATAGATAGAGTTGGTCTATCAAACCTAGCTACATGTGAGATAAAAACTAAAAATCATATAGATTTGAGCAATCAAAAATTATTCATCAGGTAATAAAAAATGTTTGATCAATAATAGACATGTTGGTAATTTAACCACTTGCTATCTAGTCCATTGTCATAGAAAGCTCTTGCCGACGATAAATATATAGGAAACAAGCAATGATACAATATTACTAAACAAGATGTGACACAATATAACATTCATATTGTATGTTTAGCCCCATACCCAAAAAATATGAGTTTCTTTCACAGTATTGCAAACAAAAATACTACATTGTGTGGAGACATAATTTTTTTCTACGCATTTATCATCTATTTGTGTAACTATCTTTAGTTAGTTAGAATTAAAATCAAAATTACTATAATTGTTGATATAGATACTTTACCGTGCACTAGTCATAGTTGTCACGTCGGCGATCCGCGCGCTTGATAGGTAGGGAGTAAATGTGTTAGTTAACAGTGCCACGTCAACGATCTGTGTGCTTGTTAGGGCCAAACTACACGACCGGCAACGGCAATGAACCCTCGTCTGTCATTGGTAGGTCGGCTGCTCCCCTTACCACATGGGAGGGAGCGGCAATTTGAAAAATCCCATGTGGCAAAAAAATCGATCACTCCGGAGTACCACACACTTCCGCTGGAAATCCGGTTTTTATTGAAACTCCTACTCCACGTGTAGATTCGCGCCTTTTTCAAGTTTCTTCGAGGAGTACGTTAGTTTCCCACTCTATTGAAAATTTCTCGACATTTTCTCGACACGATGGATTCACAAGGAACTCCGATGTATGACTTCACGAATAATGCATCCGGTTCCAACTCTCCCGCTATGGGTCAAAATTCAATGCGCATGGTAGTACTACCATTCCAACTTCGCCGTTTTTTGGAAATTTTTCACATCCAGGTTTTATTTTTCCACAGTCCTTCGTGCATTCACTCTCGGGAATGCACTTTCCATCTGCAAGTCACGTTGCTTCGAGACTCCTCGTTTGATTCAATAGTGGTTTTGAGAAAGTTAAATTTAGTGAAGGTGATACTATACAGACAAAAACTAGTAAGAAACGAAGAATTGGCCGTTAAATAATCCTATATAAATTTGCAATGCTCTGCATGGAGTTACATGTGGCCAATCTTGAGATTGAGACCGCCACCTTCACTTGAACCGGTATAGTTGAGCGCATGTTGGTATCTTGTCTTTGCAATGAAGGCACAAGAGTGAAACACAAGAACTCAAAAGTGAAAACAATCATCCGCATGCGACTCTTGAACTCCCTCGCATTGAATGATCCGAGTAAGTTTCGATCAAAAAACTCGGGTTCTCCAAGCCCTCTATCATGGATCCGTAAACCTTGAGATCTTGTGACTCTTTCTAGCATGAATCTTTGCATCATAATCTATATGCAATAGGTTTGTTGCCAATTCCACATCAAAATGATATTTTGATCTCTATCAAGACATTCCATCGTGCAAAACAGTGTAAGTTGCAATAAAAGAAGAAAAATGAAACTTTGGACGTTATTGTCCATTGTGGAAATCTATGGAAAGAAAGTGAAGATTGAATGCAGGATGGATGTAGATTTAGGATGCAAGAATTTACTCTAGAAGTGAAAGAAAACGAGCACTGAAGTTTAGGGATTCGGAGTGAGAGGAAATAAAGGAAAAATTTTGAAGTGATAGTATTCTCTTCTTCTCGATATGTGTCCTTTAGACTTCTCTTTTCATTCGTCCCACTTCCGACCGTGTGATAACCGTTGGTGAATAATGTTCAGGTGGACGAGGGAGGCCTACAAAGATTCCTTCATTCACTAGCCAGGAGCTAATTGCCGGCTGCCGGTCGTGTGATATGGCTCTCAGATAAGAATTGAATGTGTTGGTTGGGAGTGTCTTGTCAACAATACGTGTGTTTGTTAGGATTACCCGCCAAATTGAATGATATGAAGGGTAATCCACTAGAAGTGGAATGGATGGTGATAATCAAATTTTATCTCATTGTAATTTTGGCTGAGAGCTATATAAGGGAGAATTTAACCATTGTTGGTATCTCTCATCTTTAAAGTTTATGTGTCCATCTTCTAGTGAGCTTCTCTCTAAACCTCTAGTCTTTTCTGCCCTTCCGACTTGTAATGCTTTCATGATGTCTTACTTTGTGGCATGTGTCATCTTGCTCTCTCAATCTGCTTGAATCTTCACCTCTACAACATGATGCAAACAATACATGTGTGTGAGATCATCTGCAAGTTGCTTCTTGCCCTCCACGTACACAATCTTCATGTTGAAGCGTTGACGCCATTCTGCCTATAAAATTTGTCGTTTAGACGGGTTCTTTTGAGTTTTTAATAAATCAAGGGTTTATGATTGGTCTTCAACACAAATTTTTTATCACCCAAATAATGCTTCCAGTGTTTGATTGCAAACACAATGGCTAACTCCTTTTGTTCTGTCGTGTGATAATTTTGTTTCGTCGCCACCAACTTTCAAGAATAGAAAGCATATGGATATTATCAATCCTATCATTCTTGTTAAAGTATGTCATCTATCGTTGTAACAGATGCGTTAGTAGCCAACTTGTTAGAACGGTTAGGATTATACCACTTGAGGATAGATGCGTGTAACAAAACATTTTTTAATGCTTGAAAAACTATTTTTGAGCTCTTTTTCATCTTCATTTTTGATATTTCCCTAACATGGAAGTCAATGCTTGAGTTAGACGAGCAAAACCTTTCACAAATCTACAATAGAATCCAATGAGTCATAGAAAACTTTTCAACTGAGTTTGATTCTCATGTGTTGTACATTTTTGAATGTCATCTATCTTCTCACTCATCATTTGGATTCTTGCGGCTGTAACTCTATGATCCAAGTAATCTACTTTTGATTTGCTCCATCCATGGCATTCCAATGATGCCATCATATCAAGCTAAACAAATTACTTTTTATTCAATGCTCTCCTTGTATTTACCTATGGATAATTCTACACTCCGTGAAAGTGATTCTATCATTTCATTTTGTCCGTTTGGCAATTCATCTTTCTCACTCATGTACTTCTTCAACATCAAATCTAACTTCATAGCAACACTCCTGGATAAAAAATTCTTTGTTGCTCCAAGATCAATTAGAACTTTCATCTTGTGTACTTCCATCAAACCATCAGTGACAATGAGTTGAGATTGCTTCTTACTCTTTCCATAAGTTTCCAACCATTGGCTTCTTCCAACATCGTCTTTTCTTCGCTTTGTAGAACCAGTAAGGCCACGAAGCAAGTTTCCAAGTGATCTTTGTTTCTAAAAACTTTTTCCTCAATCTCTTCATACTCTATTCCCTCCATGTTGTTGAACAATCGTCGTTGTATGGGCCGTACTCCTTGTGGTGTCGATCAAATTCTGCAAAACTTGGCAATGTGACTCATTCGTCCACATACATAGCATTGACGATTGTCACAAACTCATGCTACTCTCAGAATCATTCTGTTATTTGCATAAACTTTTTGCAAATTTAGAACTCTTGTTCGCTCAATCTTACCTCCAAATCTTGGCGGTGGTACTCTTGTTGGTGCAAAATCTTCTCCACGTCGAAGGTTTCCTAACTCCATTGGTGTTGGACTAGATAGATCTTGAAAATTGTTTATTGATACATTGTGTGTGACACCAAAATCACCAAAAATTAGTTGAGCAATTTGTTGGCGTTCTACAAACAACGTATATGGATTCCGCAAGATTCACAGTTACACACAATGATTTTCTCAGAAAATCATGATACAACCATTGCATGTCATGTGGGAGTGTAGAAGACCTTGGAAAGCATCCAACAAGTTTACTTTCAACCCAAACTACAAGAGTACATGAAGGCTTATGTTTGAAGTTGTGTT